AACTTTATATATGTATATATACACACATATGTGTGTATATACACACATATATGTACATATGTAAATATACGTAGATATGCACATATATATATGTGTGTGTGTGTGTGTGTGTGTGTATATGTGTGTGTGTGTATATCTCAAAGGCCATTACAGAAGCTAATTGGAAGCTTACAGAGCCAGAGGCAATTGTGTGTAACTCAACATGTATTTGTATATATGTGTTCACAGAGGAGCTTCTAATAGAAGACATGAGTGTCATGCTTGACTCAAAAAGCCATCAGAAAAGTTATCAACTGAGCACCCATAGCTCATACCTGTAATCCCAGCTACTCAGGAGGCTGAGATCTGAGCCAAAAATAGTCTGTGAAACTCTTACCTCCAATTAACCAGCAAAAAGCTAGAAGTGGAGTTAGGGCTCAAGTGGTAGAGTGCTAGCCTTGAGCAAAAAAGCTCAGGGACAGCACCCAGGCTCTGAATTCAAGCCCCAGTACCAATACATACACACACACACACACACACACACACACACACACACACACACACACACACACATACACACACACGAAGGAGGAGGAGGAAAAGAAAAGAAACATCAAGAGGAATTTAAAATGCTGTTAAGAGGAAAGCTAGGGAAGAGGGTTTAGGGGTGAGGGTGAGTAAGCAGCGGGCAATGAGACCCGACGCACTGGTGCCCAGGTGCAGTTCATGACCAAGAACAGTGGGGGGGAAAGGCAGATCTGTGGTCCTTGGACCTTCATGACAACAGTGAATGGGCTGAAAACTACAAGGCAGCTAAGCCAGGACTAAAAAAGCATAGAGAAACTTTGAAAATCTGCAGCCAGAGCAGTCCTTACCTAGTGAGGACCTGTCGTTTTATAATCTGCCTCTGAATGGTGCCCTTAGTCCTTTCTGCTTTGGTCTGGAAAGAGGTCTTTACTTGTGTCTGAGCCCTCCTGGGCCTCAGTTCTCCTCTTTCACTTAGAGCTGTAACTGGGGTGGCAGGTGCCCGCCACCACACCCAGCCTCTTCTGTTCAGGTGGCATCCCATGAACTTTTTCTGTCAGGTTGGCCTCAAAACTCAGCTCTTCCTAGTCTCTATCTCTGGAGTCGCTGTGCCTAGAGGCACAAGCCACATCTCTAGCCAAGTATATCTGACATCCTACGCTCACTGCTGGTGAGCAGCCGACTTCGCACGCTGCATGCAGCTCACATTCACTCCAGTGCAACAGGCTGCTCTGTGCAGTGGAGACACCCCAGGACTCCCAACCGAGTGACAGTCACACCCAATCCAAACAAGAAAACAGCCATCCCACCCACAGACCTGTGCAGTGGAGATACCCCAGGACCCCTACACCAAGTGACGGTCACACCTAATCCAAACAAGAGAAAACAGCCATCCACTGACAGTGTGCAGTAGAGACATTCTGGGATCCCCACATTTGGTGTCAGTTGCACCCAACCCAAACAAAAGAAAACAGAGCCACCCCACCAACAACATGCAGTGGAAACACACTGGGACCTCCACACCAGGTGACAGTCACACCCAATCCAAACAAGAAAACAACCACCCCACCCACAATGTGCAATGGAGACACCCCAGGACCCCCCACACCAGGTGACAGTCACACCCAATCCAAATGAGAAAATAGAGCCATCCCACCGACAGATCTGTGCAGCCACAACTTCTGTGGCTTAAGAGAAGACACTGGGATATTTTTTCCTTTCTAAAATGGTTCCTTTCAGTGCAGACCTCAGAGAACAGGGCGGCTCATCTGTCTGGAATGCGTCTCACACCTTGTTGCCCAGGGGACCCATCACGCACCACACGTTTTTAACTTCTCCTTTCTCAGAGTTGACTCATGGACTACGAGACCTCTGAGAGAGTTTGTTTCAAGAACTACCTGCAGGTGGATCCTTAGCTGTAAATCTCTTGGGATTTATGGTACCTGAAGTATTTGTAACAGAATGAAATGTCATCATAAATGCTCATCGTCTGACTAAGTAGCGCCCCACTTCAGATGAAGCCCTCGGAGCACTATTTTGTGACTCGCAGAACAGATCCTATGAAATCCAGAGGTTCCTTTTGTGGGCACATCAATCTCCCAGGTGTCCGAATAATGTTCATGCTCTTCTATCTCCTGGCTTTGTAGAGTAGGCTATGTCCGAGGGAGCAGCTGCACAGAGCCGGCCACACTCCCTCAAGCCCCCAGGGTTAAACTCAAAAGCAAGGCCAGGTTGTGGATGAGGAGTGAATTCCGTGTTGGGACACTGCTGCACTCAGTGGGTTAATAACCATCCCCAAAGTCCCAGGCCCAATTCAACCCAGCGCTGCGGAGTTGACCACCCCCTACAACTCTTGCTCTTCTCTCGTATCTCTTGTTCACATGGATGCATTCTCTGGGCCATGCGTTCTGGATCATGTGTTACTGCTTTTCCCCCACTGCCTCCCAGAGCCCCTTTGGGAAGCCCCTCATTTACCCCTCACGTCCTGGACCAGTGCTCTCTCAGTGTGTGCACAGGTGTGTCGTGAACCCCACGGTGCTGGGGGAATGCTCAGGCCCGGCCATTGGTGGAGAGAAGGCATGATGCCCGGAGAGCAGAGGTTTGCAAACATGGGAGACTTCCACCAGTTAACGCTGAAGCAAAGTGCTCGTTTCCTCCCCTCCTGTACCAACTACAGTACTGGCTTATTAGAGTACTTAGTGCCCTGCTTTTGATGTGAAAGCTTTTGGCATGGTGAGTAGACCATGAAACACATGCCGCGTGTCCACTGCAGATGTGGCTTTAGCCTGGATGTGTGCCTTCATGTGAAACTAGTAGAACCAGTGCCATGGTGCTGTCTTTGCCATTCAGCCCATGGCACAACCTTGGCCCACTGAATTGTTAAACTCGTTTCTCTTCATCTTAGAAGTAACAATTCCTCGTGGCATCGCTACAAGGATTTAATAAGTGAATACACACAAAGCCATGATGGAATGCCTGGTGTGCAGCACCAAAGACTTACTGCCTGTCATTCTGTGATTGATTTCTCTGCTCTATTCTGGATTATGGATTGTTCCGCTATATTTAGAGGGCCAACAACTAAAGCTCTCAGGTTTCACTAGAAAAAATGTCTGTGATGCTAAACTGGCCCACCCCATCACGGTTCTTTGTCTGGGCCTTATCACCCACAGGGCTCAAAAAGAGCCTGCCAGGCCCTACCGTGTCCTCTGCTATCTCCTGTTGCTCCCACCCATACTGTCAAAGTTCCTCCTCTGCTTGTATATTTGCAGGACCAATTCATATGAAACTTCATGTCTCCTGAGTTTCACAAGAAAGTTACTAACTCCCATGATCTTGACTAGGAACGAAAGAAAAATTAACAGCTCAACAATTGCTTTCCTTATTAATTCATCCAAACAGACCTAAGATGCTTTGTATAAAGCTAGCTGATGGGAAAGACATGTGAAAAATATATAAAATACAAAATACTGTGAGACTTCTTTTCTGACATTAGCTGTTTTTATTTCATTGTTGATTGTCTTTCCAATCACAGCCAGCTCCACTACCTGGAAGTTCCATGATTTATTTGCCCAGGAGTTACAGCAGCCGGTGCCAGGCACCGTCCCCTTGTGCCAGCACTGTCCCCCATGCTGGGCGCTGTCCCCCATGCCAGACACTGACCTCTCACCCCGTGTCTCCTGTGTCAGTGGCACAGTGCCAAGGCTTCTTGTGACAAGAGTTCATTAGCCACAGTCTTTCTGAGAAACACTTGGTGTAAATGTGGGCCCATGTTGATTGTTTCCTATAGACCTAGGGGTTGCCTGTAGCAAGGAATGAAACTAGCAAATGCTCCTTCCTCCATTTTCTTCACTTTTCAAGCCCATAATTCCCCTCCTCCCCTCCTTTTTTTTTGGCTGCTCATGGGTCCTGAAATCTGGGTCTGGGCGCTGTTCCTCAGCTCTTCAGCTCAAGGCTAGCACTCTACCACTTGAGCCACAGCGCCACTTCCAGCTTTTTCTGCTTACGTGGTGCTAAGGAATCAAACCCAGGGCCTCATGCCTGCGAGGCAAGCACTCTACCACTGAGCCACCTTCCCAGCCCATCATAATTCCCTTTTCAAAGAGCTTAATCTTGGCATAATGATGCTATTTGGTTTGTTCATTCATCCTCTTATCTTCCAAGATAAACTGTGAGGGACTTTGCCTGTACCATATTCTGTCTTCTGTCTTCTACTCTCTCTCCTCCTCAAGGCCTGGGGAAAGTTTTCTCTCTCTTTTCTGGGACAGCTGAATAGATCTTGATTCAATGTACTTGATCTTAAATAATGCTAGGCTCTGTGGGGTTTTTTTTTGTTTTTGTTTTTTGTGGTCCTCTTCCCAATGTGTCATCCTAAAAACCTGGAACTCTTCTCTCCCTTCCTGGAGGCCTTCAATCCTGACAAGTGGTCTTTCTTTCCTCTTCCCTGACAGCCAGCTCAGCACAATGCTATAGAGTTTCCAGGGCTATAAAAGCCAGCCAGTACTGAAATGCTAAATTCTGGGGTTTCAGCAGACATTGTTCTCCCACCCCCAAAGTCCACATGCAAATTCAAGATTAAAATCTAAGTTCGACACTTCTATACTGTGTTCATCAGAGTCCTGCGAGATTGGCCCAAAACAAAAGAAAGCTAAACCTTCTCCCTCCCAAGGCTCTTGGGTGCAGTCTTCCAATAAAAATTTGCTGAAGATTAACCTCCTCACAGAATGTTCCAGGTTCCCACTTAAGTTCTTTCTTTGGACTCGTGTAATTCTTTCTTTGGACTCATGTAAGATTTGTTCTAGAAAAGTCTCTATGAACCTGACTATACGTTAATGTCCATTAATTAGAGTGTTTGACTTAATTGACTCTTCTCTTTTTTATAAGTTTTTATGGTTTTTCTTTTTGTCTCTGTGACTTGGAGAGTTTTTGGATACATTATTTAAATAGAAGTTTGTTTGACATATGCTTATACATTTATCTTTGCTTTGTTTTTTGCACAGGGACCTCCTGGTTTACAAGGAATACAGCAGACTTTTGGCAGCTATTTTAACAAGGTTTGACTAATTTGTTTCCTGCATCTTGTATACAGAGAAATTGTATGTGATTCTGCCTTTGCAGGGTGGGGTGGGGGGAACCTTATTAATGCCTAATTTCTCAGACATGATCGTATGTACTCAATATCTTCCCATACTGGAAGCTGTCTCTGGATATAAATGTTTTTAAAATATTTTACTCAACATGTTGTTATAAACCTGGAGTTTTATTTCTATTTTCATTTTTATATTATTTAGTGCTGGTACTGAAGCTTGAATTCTGCTCTTGCTTATCTTTTTGACACAAGGCTGGTACTCTACTACTTGAGCCAATGCTTTTTTTGCTGGTTATTTGGAGATAAGAGTCTCACAGCATTTTCTGCCTGGGTTGGCTCCAAACCATGAGCCTCAGATCTCAGCATCCTGAGTAGCTAGGATTATGGATGTAAGCCACCGGTGCCCACTGGTGGGCAAAAACAAAGTTTACCTGCATATTTGCTAATGCAAATAAATTGCTTCTATCCCTAAAAATGGCTTTTTCTAGGTTCTCTAAAGGCAGAGAAATATTGCTGGCCATTCTGAAGCTCCGGGTGAGAGTCAAGAAGTAGAACTCTTACCAAAGTTACTAGTGTCAGGCACAGGCTCCCATTCCAGCTGCTCTAGGTGAAAGCAGCATCAATTCCTGCGGTCTTCATCCTTGCTGGATTGGTGGATGGCCGACAGGGAAAGCACCCTGAATGCCAGTGTGTAAACCTCATCCCACTCAAGGACTTCAGGGTGTCATTGAGAGGGTCATCCTCCAGTGCTCAGTGTATGAGGGCTGCCCGAGGGGGCCCGAGGGGACACGGGAGCTGACCCAAGGGGCATGGGCTGGCTAAGGGGACACGGGGGGCTGATCTGAGGGGACATGGGGGCTGACCCGAGGGGACACTGGGACTGACCCAAGGGGACACGGGGGGCTGACCCGAGGGGACACAGGGGGCTGACCCGAGGGGACATGGGGGCTGATCCCAGGGGACACAGGACTGACCCCCAGGGGCATGAACTGGCCCAAGGGGCATAGGCTTGCCCGAGGGAACACTCAGGCTGATCTGGGGAGACTCTGTTCAGTGGACAGACACACAGCAGGTCATCACCAATATCCTGTGCCACAGTGAAAACTGGAGACAGCCCCCTCCCCAGTCTCCTTGGCAGTCTTCTTCTCCATGTCTCCTCAGCAGTCCCCGACTCTCAGTAGTCACCCCTCTTTCTCTGTCTCCTCGTCAGTCCCCCCTTTCTTTTTGCTTCATGTCACTACTGCTGTATATCTCTTAACAAATCTCAAAGATGCAGTATTCTAGCCCAGGTTTCAAGGAAGCTAGAGAGCCACAATAATCAATAGCAAGATAATTAACACAAAAATCCCAATTCTTTGTTTATCAAATTAATGTCAACATAACAATGTAGGTAATTAGAGGTGCATCAATTTAAAATCAACCAGGAGCTCTTGGCTCATGCCTGCAAACCTAGCTACTCAGGAGGCTGAGATCTGAGCCTCCTAGGTTGAAGCAGTCCTGGAAAGAAAGTCCATGACAATCAAAAAAACTGGATGTGGAACTGTCACTCAGATGGTAGAGAACCAGCCTTGAGCAAAAAGCTAAAGTGCAGCACCCAAGCCCTGAGCTCAAGCCCCAATACTGGCACCAGCATTTTAAGGAGAGGAAGACAGACAGGTAGACAGGCAGACTAAGAAGTGTGGTCTAGAATATTCTATGTGTGTATTTTTTATGTTCAGTTTTGGATGTGTGGAATAAAAAAGCTAGATTTACCTCTCCACCACACAAAGCAGTTTACAGCACTGCCTTTCACAGTCGACAGGTGCCCCAATCTGCATTATCGCTTCCCAGAGAAGCATCAGCTCCAGCCTGCTCCTCCCCTGAAGATGCAGCGAGCAGCCTATTGTGTCTGCCTCTGAGGACTTGAGCATAGGTCCCTTTGGCCCTGGCTGGGGAAAGCAGGTTTACCTGTGGGGTGTCAGCCCAGCAAGCAGTCCTAGTGGCCACTTGTCCAATGTTGACCGGAAGAGAATTTGATGCCAGGCACCTGCAATCCTAGCTACTCAGGAGACTGAGAGCTGAGAATTGTGGTTGGAAGATAGCTTGGACAAAAAAGCCTATGAGATTCTTTAGCCACCAAAAAGCTGGAAGTGGTGCTGTGGCTCAAATGGTAGAGTGCTAGTCTTGAGTAAAAAAGCTAAAGGACAGTGTCCAGGTCCTGAGTTCAAGCCCTAGGACTGAGCGCATGTGCGTGTGCGTGCATGTGCGCACACACATGCACACACACGATCTTGCAAAAACAAATCACATCACTTGGGCAGCATTGTTGCAGAGGTGTGCCTGTGTCCCGCAGCTGTGGCTCTGGCTGTGGCCCCTGGGTTGTTGGGCTGCACAGCGTTGTTCTGCTCTGCTCTGCAGTCTAAGAGCCTGGGCCCCATCCAGAGATTTTCTCAGTCAGCTTCATCCCTGTCCCTGCTTCCCTTACAGTATTAGAGCAAAATCAATGCTGATGACTTGTGCATAGGATTGACAGAATGCCTAAATTGTGTTTTCAGAATACCTCAAATTTCAATTCAAGCCTCGTTATCAGTACACAGGCATGCACACACACACATACACACACACACGCGCGCGCACACAATTCTGGAAAATAAAAGCTTGCTTTGATGCTCCGAGAAAAGATCTAAAAGTGATTGTGTAGCACTGTCAGTCACTTCTGTGTCTTAGATTTTGCTGCCAGTGTGTGGAGGCGAAGTCTTGGAACCCAGCACTTTGGCATACATGGCCTTGCGTCCCAGCCATCACTCCTGGACATGCGGGCTGGCAGGGCTGGGGGGACACAGCCTGTCCCACAGGCTGCCCAGACCAGCGGGGCACATATCCCAGGCCACAGCTGAGCCAGGGGGAGGGTGGCGACATGTTTAAGGCATTTAAATGACAGTGCATTTCTTGAAACAAAACAGCTGGCTTTTGCTTGCACTCTTCCTCAGGAAGCATGTGCTACTGAGGAATTCTCAAGACCTCACCCCTGAGAAATCTGATTCCCAGAAACAGGTGTTTGTCAGACTCTGAGGGCCTTTTTCGATTGCTCAGAATCTTCTTTAATTGCTTCAGAATCTTAAGTGGAATTTAAAAAAGACAATGGCATGGCCATTTTCTCGTCCTCCCCCTCACCCCCCAATACATAGCCCAGAAGAATCTATGGAGAACTTCATAGGAAGGAAGGCTCTAAAAGTTTGTAAACAAGGAAAAGACTCAATGCATAAAATAAACTAACAGAAAGTGGGCATAGAAATAGCTAGAAGAGTGAACCCAACTGTACTCAAACACATCAACTCTGGGTTAAAGTAATTGTTTTCAAAATACATTTTTCATGTGTCATCAAGTCATCACATTGCAAATTCCCTTGCGTTGTTTTCTCACAGATTCTTGCTGGAACCTGTGTGATTCCCCAGCTCTTCAAAATCCCAGTGGTATATCAGAATTACATGGAAGCATTTAGAAAATAAATCTGGATGCTGGTGGTTCACAGCTGTAATGCTGGCCTTTTCAGAGCCGAGATCTGAGGATTGCAGTTCAAAGCCAGCCGAGGGAGCACAAGGCTGGAGGCAGAGCTATGGCTCAAGTGGTAGAGCTTAAGCCTTGAGCAAAAAGCTAAGCAAGAGTACAAGGCCCTGAGTTCAGCCCTAGTGCTGACATAAAGAAAGGAAGAATGACTGGGAATGTGGCTTAGTGGTAGAGTGCTTGCCTAGCATGCATGAAGCTCTGGTTCGATTCCTCAGTATCACCTAAACAGAAAAAAAAAGAAAGAAAGGGAAAAAGGAAGAAAAGATAAGGAAAGAAAGAACAATGTTGAACCAAAAAAAGCCCAATGTACTGAATGTTAGAGATTTGAGTAAAAATATACATTATTATATAATATACATATTGTATGTAATATATATCATATAGCATGAAACCCATTGAAAGAAATAGCTTTAAAGGGGGAAGAGATGATGGAATAAGGAAAAAATATTAGGGGGAACAAGTTTGATTTAAGTTCCTAATGTGCATGTATGGAAATATCCTTTTGTATAATGAATGATAATTTTAAAAAGATAAATCTCTATGGATATTATTTTAAACACTTAAATTACTATATTTTGTAATTCCCCATGCCCAGAAAAGTATAAAAATTTAGACTGAAAGGTAAATACTAAATTCACAAGGGTGGGAGTACAGAGGGAAATACAGAATATGTTTTCTTTGTAAATCTGCTAATTACACTTTAAGCACCTTGTTTACTAAGGCTTGGTGTCAACTTAGTGCTTTTTGGTACAGAGATGTACCAAAGTACAGAAGTGTAAAGGAGAATGTCACCGTGCAAACACTTCTGAGGTTGGGGTGTTGGCACTCAGCATCTTCTAACAGCCTCGTTTCACCATTTGGGTCTGCCGAGTCCCATTAGTGACAGACTTCCTTCCTGTGAGGATTCCTACTCACATTGTTTCCTTTGAAAACGCAGCCTTTGTGCCACATGCCAGTCCCTCTGCCAGAGGTTTGAGCAGAACTTAGCAAACATTTCTAAACATTCTGAGCATTTCAAATGGCCTCCATTGACCAGAACGCCTTCTTAGTCGGCGCTGGTCCACACAGCAGGCCTGCCGGGCTGCCAGAGGATTGTTTTCTCTCCCTCAGTAAAAAGAAAGAAAAGGAAATCACAAACAGGTTTTTAATTGCATTTGATATGCCAAATCAAAATTTGTTTCTACGCTAAGATGCTCTTTCTCTGAAAAATAATGGTGTGTCACATGAGTGTTACATATCGTAATGGAATGTTCCAGGTTGGGAAGAGCCAAAGGTGTTGGGGAGTGCCCGCGGCACATTGTTAGGGCATAGCCCATTCGTAGATGATTTGTGGTGGGAGAGCCTGACCCCTGAGCAGTGCTGGTCTGATGGCATGTGAAAATCGCCTGCAGTCCTAGCTGCTCGGGAGGCTGAGATCTGAGAACCCAGGTTCCAAGCCAGCCTGGCAAGGAAAGTCTCTGATCTCCAACTAACCAGCAAAAAGCCAGAAGTGCAGGCACAGCTTAAGCAGTAGAGTGGCAGCCTGGAGCGCAAAAGCCAAGTGAGAGTTGGAGGCACACACGTGCATGTGCGCGCACACACACACACACAAACACACACACAATTTAAAAAAATCACCTTTCTTCTTGCTTTCTCAGGGTGAAACCGGGCTGCCAGGGTTCCTGGGGTCTAAAGGACAAAAAGGAGAACCTGTGAGTATTTCAACTTTGAGCCCAGAGAAAAATACCAAAAGGAAAAAAACATACTTTTCTAGAGCAACCATAATTTCATAATCTGTGGTTGTCTCTTTTATTTGATGAGTCCAGTCAGACAAAAAACAAACATTCCCCCCTGATCTGGCCAGTGCATAGCTCAGCTACCAGAGAGTTCAGAGCAGCAGAGTGGCCTGGGCCCTGTCACAGCAAGGAGAGAATCTGGGCCAGACCCTCACACAGCTGGAGGAGACAGGAGAGAGTGTGGCAGAGCAGGAGAGCAGGCACATAGATTGCCCCTGCAGACGGCTTGCAGGGACAGGGCAGGCTGCCCTCACCGGGCTCAGCAGACTCTGGGGACCGTGGCCAAGCTGCTCCAGGAGGAGGCCCTGCCTTAGCATCAAGATGTGCTGCCACTGTGCCGGGCTGGTGCACGCAAGGCCGCCACTGCCAGGGGAGACACTGGACACCTTTTCTGGCACAAGCAGGCAGTTAGCTCACTGTGCCATTGCCACCCTAGTGAAGGGACACAGCGTCCAGAAACGGCTTCTCCTGGGAGCAAGGAAGAATCACCCACGCCTGGTTCTGTCTTTCTGGGGGACCCTGCAGCCCAGGTAGAAGGGGAGACGAGCAGCAGCACTGCCATTGCCACTGCTGTGGGACTCTGCTCCTTCATCTGTCTCCTCTGATTTCCGTTACTTCTGATTCTATATATGTTTTTTTTTTTAACAGGCTTTGTGAATAGCTTACCTTTATTTTAAAACTTGTTAGGGGCTATCATGCAACAACTCTCTAAGCCTTGGTTGTGTGAAGCAGGTATTTTTAGTTATTGGTATGAGTTACCAGGTGTGAGTGCTCCACTATGAAACGTCACACTGCACAATTAAAATAGATGATGCCTTTTGTCAAAATTCTGATAGTGATGCAAATTATATTTATCAAACAGGTGAATATGCAATAGAAAATAAGAAATGCATATTGTGCTCTTGGATTATCTTACTATTTTTCTGTTTATTTAAAATTAAGCACCTATTCCTGATAGAAGGGCCACCAGCAAACATTGCCTTCGAGTCTCTTCCCAACCCTCATCTGAAGCTTTAATTCTCTGGGAAATATAATCTGAGGCAAATTGTAACCATACCAGCTAAGCCAAGAATACAGGGATTGCTACTACAACCATGGCAGCCAAGTGTGGTGGCTCACACCTGTAGTCCTAGCTACTTGAGAGGCAGAGGTCAGGAGGATTTGAGTGGTTTGAGACCAGCCTGGGCAAAAAGTTACCAAGACCTTATCTGAATGAATAAGCCAGGCGCAGTGCCGTGTCCCTCAGTGCAGGCTGCAAAGGAGGCCGAATGTAGGAGGATTGAGGTCTGAGGCAGGCCCTGGGGTGCAGAGGGCTATGGGCTGACTCCAGTGGTAGAGTGTGGTGTCTGTGAGGCTCTGAATTCAAATCCTAGCATGAAAATGTGTCCCTAGGGCAGCAAGGCTAGAGAAAGTAAAATAAATGAGTGCTTCTTGATTGGCCACAAGTGTTCCCAGTCAGGTGCTGTGGCCACGCCTCCTTGAGGCAGCCCCTGGTGTCAGTGCACAGTGCTCACACCCTCCCTTCCTTCACAGGGGGCGCCTGGGGCAGACGGGTCCCCAGGGATGAAGGTGAGTGCCTGGCGTCCTTGTCCTCCTGTGGCCACACCGCAGTGAGCCTCTGAATCTGGCCGTAACTCTTGACTCTCCCTCCCACTGGCATTTTAGGGAGAACTGGGAGACACGGGTCCACCCGGCTGGCCGGGGAGCCCAGGACTGAAGGTATGGCTGCTGATGGGTTGGGGTGGGAAGGGCAGCCACATCCTCTCAGAGTTTGAAAGGAGCCTGGGTGTAGCTCCCGGGGACCTTGTTCAGGGCGATTTTCCCACCGGGCTTTATCACAGCTGTAGCAACCTCTGCTTCACCACAGGAGTCAAAACTTCTTTTTTCAGCACACATAGCGTCCCTAAAAGGCTTCCCACGTACACACAGTCGGCTAAATCCATGATCCTGAGCTGCACCCGTGAAAGGACTGGGATCCAGGGTGCTGTCTCTAAACCACAAGTATCCAGCATCCCGAGAGGGAGAGGCTGAGGCTCCCAGCTCTGCGCCTGCAGGAGTGCCCAGAAAGAGCCATGTGAGGGAAGGGCAGGAGAGATGTGCACTGTGGGCTCCCAGCCATCCCCTGCTGGTAAAACCAGAACCATTAGTGAAACATCTAGAACCACCTTAGTATCCTCAGAGGAGATGCCAGCATCAGGCATAGAAGACGAGGCGTTGGGAAATCTATACAGGTCACATCCTGTTCTACAGATACTCAGGTTCAGGATGGGCATGGTAGTACATGCTTCTAATCCCTTCTACAGGAGAGTCATGAGTTAGAGACCATCCTGGGCAAAGTTTGTGAGACTCTGCTTTCAAACAAAAGAAAAATAAAAGAATGAGGGGCATAGCTCACTTGCTGGAGTACTTGCGTAGCAAGTGTGAAGCCCTGAGTTCCATTCCCTCACCCTACTAAAAACATTCAGGACTAGGTCTTTTCAACAAAGGAAGAGCAAGCCACCTTCTATTTCAGGGTGAGCAAGGACCACCCGGACCAATGGGGCCGCAAGGACCGCGGGGAGACGTCGTAAGTACCGTCATCAGTTCCTGGAAATTAAGATGTGGGAAGCTGTAGGTGCTCATGTAGCTGAGTTGTGCTACATTTCTCAAAGACATAGCTTCCTGTCCCTCACGGAACCTCAGCTCATCCCGTGTCCTGTCATGTCCACAGAGCCCCAGCCCACCCCATGTCCTGTCATGTCCACAGACCCCCAGTGCTTTGTGTCCTGTCGCATCTACCCCAAATCCCAGCACACCCTGTGTCCTGTCATGTCCACCCGAGCCCCAGCCCACCCTGTGTCCTGTCGTGTCCACAGAGCCCCAGGCACCCCGTGTCCTGTCATAGCCACCCCAAACCCTAGCACATCCCCTGTCCTGTCATGTCCACAGAACCCCAGCGCTTTCTGTGTCCTCGTGTCTACCCCAACCCCAGTGCACCCCATGTCCTGTCATGTCCACAGAGCCCCAGTGCACCCTGTGTCCTGTCGTGTCCACCCCAACCCCAGTGCACCCCGTGTCCTGTCATGTCCACAGAGCCTCAGTGTACCCTGTATCCTGTTGTGTCCACCCCAAACCCCAGTGCACCCCATGTCTTGTCATGTCCACCCTGAACCCCAGTCCACCCAGTGTCCTGTCATGTCCACAGAGACTCAGCACACCCCGTGTCCTGTCGTGTCCACAGACCCCCAGTGCACCCCGTGTCCAGGGCTACTAGCAGAGCTCCCTCCACACAGCCCCCGCAAGGGTTCTTGGGGAGTCAGCTCAATAAACTGGTCTGGGAAGCTGAATGACTGCATTGGCCATGCACCCAGAGGGTTCTTGCAGTAAACACTGGAAATGTCAGGACATAAGGAAAAGCCAGAAGTGAGCCAATGTCCCAGCATGAATCCCCACCTATGGAAAGCACTGGAAGCATCTGCTGTCTTCTGCTCTCCCCATGAGAGCCTCCTGCCCCCGAGAGCAAGTGAGGGCTGAAAGATTTGTGTCTCTGTCTCCCCTCCCTTCACCTACCCTTCCCTTCCCTCTCCCCACTTCCCCTTCCCATACTCTCCTCTCTTTTCCTTCTCTTTCTTTGCGTGCCTGTTGGAGGGGAAAACTGAGGCTTGAACTTAGGTCCTTGGTGCTGTCCCTGAGCTTTTTTGCTCAAAGCTGAAATTCTACCACTTGAGCCAGAACTCTACTTCCAACTTTTGGTGGCTAATGGAATAAAGATAATTCTGTCTCTGTCTCTTTGGCTGTCTCTCTCCTCTCTCTATCTCTATTTCTGTCTCTCTGTCTGTCTCTCTGTCTCTGTCTCTCTGTCTCTCTCTGGGTGTCTCTGTCTCTCTCTGGGTGTCTCTGTCTCTCTCTGGGTGTCTCTGTCTCTCTCTGGGTGTCTCTGTCTCTCTGTCTCTCTCTCTCATCCCATTATATCCAGTCAGCTTCACTTAGAACAAATCACCTATCTCAACTAGAGATGGTTAAATTCTGCTCTCTTACGAAGATTCACAGATGGAATGGTGATCCTGATGATCTTGATAACAGATGTTCCCACTGCATGTTCCCTTTAATTCTGAATTTTCCAGGGATTGCTGGGGGAGCCGGGGACTCCAGGAAAGCAAGGCGATAAAGGAGAGAAGGTACAGTTCACACATCCCTGGCTGTGTGGAGTACAACACACTCAGGGTCATGGAAGTTCAGGGTGAGATGGCCTGGGGTTCAGGGGAGACATTCACATAAGATAAACCCTGGATAGTTGGGCTGCAACTGTGCACTGTGGCTGTCCTGGCCCTGCCTGACTGTGTGCTGCGGCCAGCCCAGCTCTGCCAGAACCTTCGTGTGCCCAGAGGAGTACAGCTAGAGATAAGGACAGAAGACAGGAGGGGTCATCTAGAGAGGACAGAGGACACAGAGGCTGTCCACACAGACACCAACTCTGTTAAGAACTAAAGACTCATCCTTTAGGATAGATAGATGTCTGTGTTGTTGGAGCATGTCCACACTGAGTGACTGTGTGCACATAATAGTTGACTGTCTAAATCAGTGCCATGTGTGTGAATGGAATGTGTTTCATGATTCTACTGACCTTATGTCCAGAAACTCAGTATGAATGTGAAGGCTGTGCGGATGAGAGGTGGGTGCCTGCAGTGACCTAGCTCACTGCCCAGCCTTGGCCAGCGTGTGGTGGGCGGATGCTTCTGGCCAGCCAGACCCGGCTGCTCTCAGTAAGGTGGTCTTGTTTCCTCAGGGGGATGCAGGTGGTGCCACAGGCCCCCCAGGACTCCCAGGCCCAAAAGGCGAGGCCGGCCCTCCAGGGAGAAGCCTGCTCGGGGAACCGGTATGTGCCAGTCTGCCTAGAAATGGCTGGAAACAGCTCTGAATGTGTGCTGGAGAGAAAAATAACTCGGGGGACGTCTTACACGTGATTCGGGGAGGAATCAGGGCCCTCTGAATCCTGCACATAGATTTTCCCCCCTTTTTGCCAATATTGAAGTTTGAACACAAGCTTATTCTGCTTGCTTGCTCACCTGGTGCTCTGTTACCTGAACCACGCCTCCAGTCAATACTTTGGCTAATTAATTGGAAATAGAGTGTCAAGGATTTTTTTTTTTTTTTTTTTGAACCACGCCTCCAGTCAATACTTTGGCTAATTAATTGGAAATAGAGTGTCAAGGATTTTTTTTTTTTTTTTCTTGGGAACCATGATCCTCAGGATCTCAGCCCCTTGAAAAGGTAGTATTGCAGGTAGGAGCCACTGGTTTAAAACCAAAACCTTTCTCTGCCTGGAGACAAAGATGACATTTCCCCCTGGGCTGTGCCCAGGCTGGTGCTGACCGCATGGGCCTCTGGTGCACTGTGCCAGGCGTCTCCCACAAAACCGCGGTGCTTTATTTTTAATGTTTTTTGTTTTGTTGGTGGACTGGAGTTGAGTCAGGGCTTCAACCTTGCAAGGCCAGTGCTAACCCGTGGGTTGTACCTGCAGCCCTGCTTTTTGATGGCTGTTTTAGAATAAGCTCTTGCTTTCCACCCCCGTGGTCCACCCACATTGCTGGAGTCACAGGTGTATGCCAAGATAGACCTTTGCGGGCTTCTCCCAGGGCTGGCCTGTGACCCTCCCAACCTCCTCCATTGAGCCTGAGGCGAACTTTCCTACCAAGACAAGACTGACCATGAACCTTGAGCCTCCCAATCCCAGCCTCCCAAGTATCTAGGACTACAAGTGTGAGCTACTGGCCTCCACCTCATTTTAAAGTAATTATGTAAATACCTTTAACCTACTGAGATTTGTCTGAGTCGAATGCTTAATTCTTTGTGCAGAAGAGGCTTAACTCAAGTAAAATGAACAACGAATTGGGACTTCTAGACTGTTTTCAAGGTCTTAAGAAGTTGTTTGTTTCTTTTGTTCCCTTTCAGGGGTTAGATGGACGGCCTGGCGTGCCTGGACCCCGAGGCCCAAAGGTACAGAACCCTCACAGCTGCTTCAGGAGAATAACCACATGGTGGGCTTGCACTAACGGGCCTGCCTCTCCCCACAGGGCGAGCGAGGGCTTCCCGGGATCCATGGCTCCCCAGGGGACGTGGGGCCCCCAGGGGTAGGAATTCCCGGCAGAATGGTAAGTGTGATCCACTCAAGTACTTTTTATTTGTGTATGTGCTAGTATTAAGGCTTGAACTCAGGGTTTCCCCGCTCTAATTTGGCTCTGTTACTCACGGCTGGTGCTCTACCACTTGAGCCACAGCTCTGTTTCTGCCTTTTTGCTGGTTCATTGAAGATAAGAATCTCACAGACTTTTCTGCCCAGGCTGGGTTTGAACCATGGTCCTCAGATCTCAGCCTCCTGAGCAGCTGGGATGAAAAGTGTGAACCTCTGGCACTGGGTTCCTCCTCCTCTTCACAAAGCCAGCAAAGCCGCCTTGGGAGAGGGGACACTGGGCTTGGGGGGGGCCACTGGCAGGACTGCTCCCCACACAGCATCCACACAGGAATGTGGGGACTCGGTTTATGACTCCAGAACTTTAGGGGGACACTCAAACCATAATAGCAAAAGCAGAAGCAGCCATTGGAGATGAGAAATTGTTAAACAAAGAAAGTTGCTAAGGAGATAATGAATTTAAAGAAACAATCCACTAGGGTCACAGTGTAAATTGGAAGGGAGCAAATGGCTTTCACAATGGCAGTGATAGAAACACTTATTTTAAAGACAAGAAAAGAAACTTGATGGTGAGGTCTTTACTTGGTGTTGGCTGTGAGTTCCTAAATCCCTGGTCTGTGGCTATGAAATGAAGATAGAATCAATTTCATTATGGTCTCTCATCATATCAGCTTCATTTAAGTTTGTCCAAATTCTAGTTGTCTAAAAGTAGGAAATAATAACAGATAACATTTTAACCCAAGTCCTATGACTAAACCCTGGTTCCGGCGATTTCTGTGAGAAGGAAGACGGGAAAGGAAGCACTGGCGGTTTGTGATCAGGTAGAGTTCAGCCACCATCGAGTCTCACTCTCAGGAACAAATGAGAGATGCCCCAGGGATCTGAGCAAATTGCTGACACCAAGCCACAGGTGTGTGGTGGAGGATGGCCAGGGGACAGTGTCCAGAGTGTGGAGAAATCTTTTTACATAACTGGTGGTGTGTGGACAGTCCTGGGAGAATTGTAGTAACCATTGCTCATTTTACACAGGGCTCCCCGGGACCAGCCGGAGAGCCAGGTGTTCAGGTAGGCTCTCAGCACAGCAAATCTGATTCTTAGTTAGAGGAAATAACTGAAAGTCCTTTTAAGAGACTTTTTATTTTCTTCCTTTTCTAGGGCCCACGAGGTCTCCCTGGGCTGCCAGGAGCCCCCGGGAATCACGTAAGGCTGCTCTTGACTAACCCTCCACTCCAACACCCTATAGCCAGGCCAACCACAGGTCTGACCCCCACACCTCTGTTTGCAGGGAGCTCCGGGGAGAGACGGGAACCCAGGCCCCCCGGGCCCACCAGGAGAGCCGGTACGCAGACAGCCTGGGCCTGACTCGTGTATCTTTAATACATTAGGAGTCAAACTGTCTACCTAACGGGTTCTGTTGTCCAAACTAATTAGAATTCTTGGTGACTGCACAGTGATCTTTTTTATCCTGTTATTTTGTAGAGAGGGAAAAAATGTTCAAGCCAGGTCAGTGTGTGTGTGTGTGTGTGTGTGTGTGTGTGTAAAATGCTTATTTCCTAAGGGTAGAATTCAGCTGTCCACTTTTGCCCAGGGCTAAGCCCCAAAACCTAATGTCTTAGTTCCAGGGGAAACACAGATAAAATATGTGCTCCAATTCCCATTCTTCCTAATTCTAGTAAGGGAATTTGATTTTTCTAAACAAAAGTTTGTGGGTAAGTTCCCTATGGGTACTTTGGTTCTGTGGCTTTGCACTTCTGAGCTGACCAAATTATGAAATTTGGCTCAGACACTGAGCATGTGTTCCAGAGTTTTATTTTAGAATAAACCTTGCTTTGAGCAACAGTGCAATCCCTTTAAATAGCCTCAGACTCTGCCATTCTCATTTGAGAGCCATACGGCCATGACATTGCATTAAGAGTTTTGTATAATAAAATCCAAAGCTGGTTTCTGGCTCCTAAACCTCCCCAGGCCCTTCTGCTTCACACCGGGCTCATGCCCTGCCTAGCAGGGACGCTGCACAGAGCCCCCTGTGGCCAGCATCAGCTCCACTGCTGGGCCCCTGGGGACCCCACCCTGCCTGGAGCCCAGAAAGGGCTCTGTGGGCACAGAAAAGACTCGGAAAGAAAACTGATTTAGACTTGAGGCCGGAACACAAGCCATGCTAGCTATGTTGGTCTTCTCCAGCATTAGAGCAGTTTCTTTGAACTTCCATGAGAACCAGCTGGAAGGCAAGTCCATTCATCTCATACTCGTTTCATTCCTCCACAGCTCAGCAGTGCACTTTGCAAAGGGCAACACTCACTCTTTGGATGAGTCATTCATTACTCTTTTTTTTATTGGGGGGGGGAGGTCCGGTCATGGGGCCTGAACTCTGGGCCTGGGCTGTCCCTCAGCTCTTCAGCTCAAGGCTAGTGCTCTACCACTTGAGCCACAGTGCCACTTCTGGCTTTTTTCTTTTTGCTTATGTGGTGCTGAGGAATCGAACCCAGGGCCTCAGGCATACAAGGCAAGCGCTCTATCACTGAGCCACCTTCCCAGCCCCTCATTACTCTTTTTGTGTGTGCTGGTCCCAGGTCCTGAATGCAAATTGTACTCAGGGTGTGGCACTGTCCCTGAGCTTTCTGTGCTCAAGGCTCTTCCACTTGAGCCACAGCTCTACCTCTGGCTTTTGACTGATTAGTTGGAGCTAAGAGTCACATGGACTTTCCTGTCCCTCTGTCTTTGAATCTCAATCCTCAGAGCTCAGCCTCTTGAGCAGTTCGGGTTACCGGTGTGAGCCACTGATGTCTTGATAGATTTATCTTTATACATTACTGTAAACCAGAAATGTGGTAGGAAAGCATGCGGGTTGGTATGTCATGAAACTAAAGCATATGATAGAGTTGAAACAGTGTCTAAATTTACATATTCATGTGCAAGAAAATGACTTATTTCTCAGAAAGTTCTGAGTGCTGTCAGTGCCACCCATGGTTTCTTGACTTGGAACCATGCTAAGCTGATGATCTGGCAGTGAGGGTCTAGAAGCCCTTCGTCTGGCATGACGTCTGTGTGTGCACACGGCCTCCATGGCGTGTGCTCTGTGCTGTCTGTGTACGCATGTACATTCCTGTTCCCTCTCCTCTTCCCTAACTACAGGTTGCACTGCCTCTCCTGGGAGATGTCGGCGCCTTGCTCAAGGTATTCTGGAACTATGGAAGAAGTGTCAGATTAATGTAGGAAAAATAAGGAAGGAAATTTTCACCAGAAACTGACTTAATTGCTTAGCTTGAACACCAGTTGCATTGTTAAATGGCAGAACATCGTTAAGATAGAAAAAGGCCTGTGCATTTCTATAAACTGTGCCATTCTTTCTCTCCAGTCTTCTCCTTCTTTTTGGCTTGGGAGGGAGAGGGAAATGAGCCACAGGAAAGGAATGAGAAGTCATGTCACAACACCTCAGTAGGTGCTGTGCCTCTCTGAGCAGTGGCCTTGGCCTACTTGTCTCTGCTATGAACCCTAACCCTCTGGAGAGGAGAGGGAGAGGGAGGGAAGAGTAAGAGGGGGAAGAGGTGAGGAAGAGGAGGATTCCATTTATATGAGTTTATTTATTGATGTATACCAATACTGGGGCTTGAACTCAGGGCCTGGGCACTGTCCCTGAGCTTTTTTGCTCAAGGATGGTGCTCTATCTCTTGAGCCACAGCTCCACTTCTGGCATTTGGCTGTTAATTAGAGACACGAGTCTCACAGACTTTTCTGTTGGGGCTGGCTTTGAACTGTGATCCTCAGGTCTCAGCCTCTTGAGTAGCTAGGATTACAGACATGAACACTGGCACCTGGCGTGTGTATCCCAGCTTTAAGAATTGTCTTCTTGAAGAGCTGGTGCCAGCTAACAGTTTAGAGACAGTTTGCTGTAGCATCTTCTCCCATCATGTAACATTTGTGCCCTCAAGGGTCACATTTTCGGGACTGTTCTTTGAGTTAAAAATATTAGATTGCAAATAGTCGTGGGTTCTAGCCAGCTTCTCCTCAAGGGCCAGTTTCAGTGTTCTTTTCATATTTAAATATTCTGCCCTTTAATGAAAAAGATGGAGAAATAGGAACCTCCAGTCCCAGCCTTCTGATGATGGTTAAACTGTATCACACACTTAGTGGCCCTAATTGTATGCCTTTGCCAGTCATGTTCTTATTCCAGACTTACTTAAAAGCAAGCCTTTCTCAGGACTTTTCCCTCCTGCTGTTTCCTTAGTGAGGTGATAAGATTTAAGTTTATCTCAAGAGCTCTGGCACTTAACTGTCAGCTCTTCCAGTTAACTAAAGGTTATAGAGAAGGGAAGAGGACTTCCACTTGGGTTTTCTGTCTTCCGGATTTGACACTGGGGTCCTGTCCTGGTCCCTGGGTCCACTGACAAGACGCCCAGAACTCTGCAGAATACCAGTTTCCTGCCAAAGGCTAAAAACCTTTTCCTACCAGTTTCTTCTTTCCGTGTCATTCCATGCCTTACCTTATTGGTGGTGTGAGCTCTTTCATAGCTGTTTATTCCAACCTTCAATATTAGCTCCCTGACCTTTTGAGGGGAGGTGCTGCTCCTGGGGCTTGAATTCAAGGTTTGGGTGCTGTTCCTGAGCTTTTTCACTCACAGTTGGTGTTCTACCACCTGAGTCACAGCTCCACTGTAGGCTTTTTGGTGGTTAATTGGAAATAAGAGTCTCACAGATGTTCCTGCCCTGGCTGGCTTCAAACCATAACCCTCAGATTTCAGCCTCCTGAGGAGCTAGGATGACAGGCCTGAGCCATGAGCACCTCCTTTTTTTGTGTTCTATTTTTGTTTTTTTGGGTTTTTTTGTTTTTGGTGCCAGAAGTAAAGTTTGACCTCAGGGCTGATACTCTTGCTTAGATTTTTGCTTAAGGCCACCTGTTGCTCTACCATTTGAGCCACGGCTCTACTTCCAGATTTTCAGTGGCTAATTGGAACATCTCATAGACTTTGCTGCCTCAGGTTGGCTTTGAACCACAATTCTCAGATCTCAGTTTCCTGAGAAGTTGAATGCTACCAGCTCCTGTTTTAAACATGTTAGTAAGCAATAGAAATTTATATTTTTGAGACATGGGTTATTTTTTTCTTATCTATTTGGAATCTTCCTTCTAAATATCACCAAGATGTACTTGAAATAAAACCTCATAAATTCATAACTTCATGAAAGCTTATGAATTGATGAGCTTTGTAAAAATCAAATTCCTCAAAAAGTAACTCTTTGTTGTCAGATAAATACATTTCTGAGAACAGAGACATCGAAAGTGCTGCAACCTCATATGCAGGCTGCACGGGGGTGGTTCACGCCTGTAATCCCAGCTGCTCAACAGACTGAGATCTGAAGATTATCGTTCAAAGCCACCCCAGGCAGAAAAGTTTCTGAAACTCTTTTTTCTTTACTTAACCAGAAAAACGTCGGAAGTGGAGGTGTGTCTCTAGTGGTAGAGCACTAGCCTTGAGTGGAAAAAGACAAGTGAGAGCATGAGTCCTTAAGTTCAAGCCCCAGTACTGGTGTGCATGCACACACACACATGCGTACACATATGCACACACAAATACACATAAATCCCCAAATCTCACATTCATAATTTATCTGTGAATCTCTCATAACTGACTTTTGTTCTCATTAGAACTTCTGTGGCAACTGCCAAGCCACTGTCCCTGCCGGGGAGCCTGGACAGTATGAGTCTGTGGCCGGGAAGGTAAGGGGGCTGGCCAAGCGCGTGGACCCAACCCTGCAGACTTCCCCCCTTCAGTTCTGCCCTCTCTCTCCTACAGGGTGACATGGGGCCACGTGGGCCTCCTGGGATCCCGGGAAGGGAGGGACCACAGGTAAGAAGGCTGCTGTGGACTCCCAGTGTGTACATAAAACTCTGTGGACTCAAGGTGTGTAGGAGAAAATACACTATTTTAGTGTCTAAAATACAGTGCTAGTGCCAGTGGCTCATGCCAGTAATCCTAACTACTCAGGAGGCTGAGATCTGGAGATTGTGGTTCAAAGCCAGCCCAGGCAGGAAAGTCCATGAGACTCATCTCCAGTTAACCACCAAAGAACCAGAAGTGGAGTTGTAGCTCAAGTGGTAGAGTGCCAGCCTTGAATGTAAAAGAGCTCAGGGACAGTGCTCGGGCCCTTAGGACTGGCACTGCGCGTGCCCGTGCGCGCGCGCGCGCGCGCGCACACACACACACACACACACACAAAGATATTTTGTGAAATGTAAGATAAAAGGTTTGCAAAGGTTGTTACTGCTTTGCTCCTGGACTCTGTCCATATAGCCCCACAACAAGTTTTTGATAAAGGATTTTTTATGTCATTCCAAACAATAAAAACGGAAGTACTTAGAGCCACTAGCTGAACTGCCTGTCTTTCCAGGGAAGCAAAGGAGAGCGGGGTTACCCTGGAGCACCTGGGGAGAAAGGCGATGAGGTAAGAGGCTTGGGTGAGCAGACTCCTCACCCAATGGACATCCATTTCTCATTCAAAAACAAATTAGAAGCAGGTATTTGAAAGGGGTGGGGTGGGGTGAAAAAGAGAGGAGAAGATGAATGAAGAGGAGGCAGAGGGAAGAAGGCAGTCAAGAATCCAGTGTATACCCTACAGGATAAGGGAGAGTGAGGGAAGGGGTGGGGTGGGAGAGGGATGATGAGAATGTGCAAAGGGGTGAGTGACATGGATCAAGACCCAGTTTATTCATAAACTGCTTTATTAAGTGGCAACTCCTTTGTACAACTACTCAAAAAGTTACTAATGAAACTCAGCCCTGTGGCACATACTAACCTTGGTGTCAGTGCATATAATTATGACAGATGAAGTAGGTTTATTTTTCTGGCTAGATTTGCATTTCACTTTACAAATTGTCGTCATGTGTTATTGTTTCTAATTAATCTTGATTGCTTTCTAGAAAACTTTAAAATCTGTTTTTTTTTCCAAAAGTTAAAAATGAAGGAATGAGAACATTTGTTTTCATCTCTAAATAAAGCATTAAGTCATTTTCCTTTGAAAATAAGAGTGAGCTACTGCTTTCTGCTGAGGGTTTCACTAAGTCCTAGCACAGTGATGGACTTCAGTAGTCCACCACCTTTTAGCTGCCTGCACCTGAGAGAGCTTCAGAAGCAACTGAGAAGGTGACAGCCGAGAGGTCAGCAAATAACTGGGATTCAGGTGTTTTGATAAATGACTAAGTTAACTTCACTAGAAGTTAATTTTGATTCCGCCAGATGCTTTGCTCTCTGGCTGAACTGAGATATTGTTTATATTCTTTACGGCTTTAGGGTGCTTGTTCAGCATACTGTGTGACAAAGAATATCCTTGTCCTTGACGGGCAGTTCCCTTATGCTTCTGCAAATAGTTAAGAACTAACAACCGTCTCCAACTGAATTCCCTATTCCTTGTCTTTTGTGTTTTTTTTAAAGTTGTAACAAAGACAAAAAATTGTTCAGTCCAGTAAGCAACTTAGCAAGTGTCAGTTTGATAATTTTGCTCGGTAGACTGTGTGGTATAAGTTCTAGTAGGACCTTGTATGGTGTGTGTGCATGTATATGCACATGCATGTGTGCTTTTGTGTGCGTGTGTGTGCACACGTGTATGCATTTTGTGTTTGTGTGTGTGTGTTCTGGTCCTGAGACTTGAACTCAGCGCCTGGGCACTCACTGTCCCTGAGCTTTTTTGGCTCAGTTCTGGTGCCCTATCATTTTGAGGTGCAGTTCCACTTCTGGCTTTTTGGTGGTTATATGGAGATAGAAGTCTCAACAGACTTTCCTGCCTGGTCTGGCTTTGAACCATGAACCTCTGATCTCAGCCCCTTTAGTAGGTAGGATGACAGGTGTGAGCCACCGGCACCTGGCTTTATCCTTGTTTTGACATAACAGGAGGACTGTGGATATCCCAGGAGTGACATATTGACTGAATTTCAGTGTTAACTTGTATAAAATATGCTTGTGTTTACACCAGTGCTTCAGATTTGGAAACAAGAAAAATTAGAGCAGAAAGCTAGTGTATACAAGGTAGTTTTTCTATTTTCATGTGGCAGATAACAATTCTAGCTTCATTATGCCAAAATGAGAGGGAGGAAGAAGAGTAAATTCATTAAAGAAAATCCCAGGTACTGAGAGAATTGAAGGAATAATTGACCCCAAGCCTAGGCGAGGACAATGAATCTTTTGTCTCCCAGACAGTTCAACACTAATAAACAATTGTGTGTTCTACTCAGGCTCCAATATTGTGTGAAATTACAGCTTACTGATTTAAGTGAATAAAACTTAACAGGAATTCATATAGGTGTTATCAAGAACTATGCATTTCCAACTGGCCAACAAACTGCTGCTTACCACATGCATTAGCTTTACTCTCACAAAAGCTCAAATGCCTGTTCTTCATGAATAGATGCAAGGGTGGCCACCTCTTTGAAGGTTGCTTCTTTTATTAATATCTTATTTAAAGCCAGTTACCAGTAGTTCATACCTATATCCTAGCTTTTCAAGAGACTGAGATCTGAGGATCATGGTTCAAAGCCAGACCAGGCAGAAAGTCTCCTTGAGACTCTTATCTCCAATTAACCGGAAGTGGAGTTGTAACTCAAAGTGTAGAGGACCAGCGTGAACAAAAGAGCTCAGGGATAGCACTCAGGCCCCAAGACTAACCTCCCCTCCCTCCCCCCCCAAATCATCAATTGAATGTTTCAGAGTTTAGAAGATTGACTTTACTCTTAGATAAGCAGCTGCCCATGTTCTTTTACAGACTGCTGTACAACTCAAGGCAGAATGTACAATATGCTGATAGAACACAGGCCTGTCTCTCCTAATCAGAGAAAATCCTTGCTTGAAATGGAAGTCTTCTGACAATATTTAAGGATAATAATTGATAAAATGTGAAAAATATTGTTAGCCATAAATTATAGCAATAGAAAAAATGAATCTTCTTAGATATGATATGTAAAATCAAAAGATCAAAGCAAGGAATAAAATGAAAATTGTGTGTTCTCAAAATGATTAGACCCATTTTAGTTGGACACATATGCTGAGATTTGTATTTATCTTCTCTAATGACTGTCTTGTCTTCTAGAATTACCTCCTTGCCCATTTTGCATCTGGAGTAATTTTACCCTTATTATAGAATTTCACTTTTCAGAGAGACTGCTGAGAATGTTTTTTTAATCTACGGACTGAGGCTTAGCATTTATTGTAGTCATCATAGGTCAGTTAGCCCCAAGCTTGTAAATTGGACAACCTTAAAACTTACTCAGCATCTCTACACGGACTCACAGTACAGACTAAAACCAGTTTATACTATGCATAAAACTAGTCTCAAAAGTGCATATGCATTTGCATATGTTATAATGTACATGTGGAAATAATTTTTTAAATATGTAGGTATATCAAAATAAAGAAATTTATAGTATAAAATATCGTATCCAAGAACTGAAAATTACCATTCCTAATAGAAAATTTTTTCCTAGCATTTACAAAGTTATAAACTCATAAAATTAATGATGATCAAATAGAAAGTCTCTCTCTCACACACACACTGTGTGCCAATGAGATTATATAATCTTAAGGAAAAATAAGTCTACACTTATTTTTCCAAGTACCAGGGCTTGAACTCAGGACTTTGTACATTTACTCAGCGTGCTTCCTCAGCTGATACTTTGCCACTTGAGCTATACCTCCAGCCCAGATTTTTGCTGGTTAGTTTGGAGATGAAGTATCATAGACTTTTCTGCCCAGGCTGGCTTTGAACAACAATCCTCTGGATATCAGACTCCTGAGTAGGAGACAGGCATGATCCACTTGTGTCCAGCATGGTTTTTTTTGTAAATACAGCACACATGTGATTTAACACAGTATTTATTACATGAGGAATAGGATCTCGGCATGTTCACAGAGATTCTTTACAGTATTTCTCCATAACCTATTGTATAAATAAAACTGAAATAATACAATCTCATTTTATTGGATGGACAGGCTAAGATTTGTCCTTGATCCTGCTCACAGTCTCTAGAACTCTCAGAAACAATTTTTCAGTAATGTCATACCTGGCCACTTCAACTAATCTGTATAATGTATACAGAAATTCATATTGCATAACAGTAAAGGGCACAGGCTTTCCATAATAAAAATACTTGGACAATATAAATCGGATCTTTGCTCAGTAAGAAAAGAACTCTTGAAAGAGCAGAGCTGTTCAGTCTAGAACATGGAATGTTTTGGGCCGTGCTAGACAGTGAACCTGAAGCCTTTGGTGTGCCAGGGCAGTGTTCTGTCACTAAGTTAGGAGAGGAAATACGTACATTTTCATGCGTCTTTCTCCCTTCAGCTAGAACTTGATGCAGTGCATGCTTAACAGGGTATTCACTTGATCTTGATTGTAGAAATTATCTAAATTGATTACAAAGATGTGGAAATGCACAAAAATACTAAATAAGACAGGAATTTTTCCTCTCCCCACTGCCAAGGGCCAGCTGCTGTTTCTATTAACAGACACTTTATCCAGGGCTGCAGTCCAGAGAGCCTCTGGGAACCCAGAAAACTGCCATGGTTAGCAGATTCATCTGATAGCAAGCTCTGACCTGAACTTCCATGGGTCTGCTCTGTTTTTCTACTGTATCAGAAAAACATGTTTTTGCTACAGAAATATTTATATTTATTAGAAAATGCCATAGCCAGTATCATTTCTGGGAATATTTCAGACTCAAAATGTGGTTGAGTGCCATCCCTGAGCAAAAATGCTAACCCAGAGTACAAGGCCTTGAGTTCAAGCCCAGTACTTGCATGCACACGCACACACACACACACACACACACACACACACACACACACACACACACACAGAGCTAGTCACCAAAAAGAAATCTGAACATTCAAAATTTTGGAACATACTGGACACCAAAGTTTCCAAACAAAACCTTGATCTGCTTGTCATGACAAGGCAATAAAAATCACTACCACTCCCATATTTTAGGAAATGCATTTATAATTGTGTAAAGTCCTCGATTCTGCTGCATGTTTGTGGCATTTATTTTTCCGAATTATTCAATGGTTTTCTAAACCATGGTTTCAGTAGTTGTAAAACCTGCTGTCATCCCAGCTCTTGGGAGGCTGTAAGTCAGAGGACCTGTGGTCCTGGCCAATGTGGGCAAAAAATGTGAATCAGAGAACAAAGGCTGGGGTGTACCTCAGGCAGGGTGTCTGTCTAGTAAGTACAAGGTCCTGAGTCCAAAGCCCAGTCCACAGAGAAGGAAAAAGTTGTAAAGTGTTTCATATTATGGGTTTAACTAGTATTCTGTTCTTGGTACACTTGGTAAAGGAACAAAGTTAATTTCATAAATTGCCAGATCTCTCTCTCTCTCTCTCTCTCTCTCTCTCTCTCTCTCACACACACACACACACACAAATCAGCTTTTTTTAATTTTACCTGGTATAATTAGCATTGTTCTACAAACCCAAAGAGGAGAAAGAAAGGAAAGCTATTTACTTTTATACTTAAGCCATAAAAGGATTCCAGACTTAAATTCACCAGTAAACCAATTTCTCCTTCTCATTAGAAGGTAAACTGCAATATGTCATAAAACATAATCTGTTTTTCCACAAGCTGAGTGAAGCTGTAGTATAAACCTGTGTTTCTGTGCTGGCATTCTGCTGGTCTGAACTTCATTTTTGTAGGTTGGTGTGTGGAGTTGTCAGGGACGGGTCACTGCTGTCACACAGAAGGCTGAGCAAGCCACCGCACAGCCTGTCTGAGACTCCAAACAAATGCAGAGTGACCGCCTTTTTGAAAGTGGACATTTACAGTGGCAAGCATCATGTTTCTTGATTAGCTAAAGTATATGTTTAATTCTCAGTAATGAAAACATTTCCTATTTATTATTTACTTAGTATCTTTAAGTAGTTGTACAAAGGATTTTAGTTCATCCTGTGAGTGTGAGTACCTTGCATCTCGATCAGCATCACCCCTTCCGCCATTCTCCCCCAGCTCTCCCACCCCTCCCTCCAGTGACCTGGTCCCATGTTCACGAATGTGCACTGAGTGTCATGACTGCATTCTCCCGCCTCCTCTCTGCATTCGTCTGCCCCTCCCCTTGACCCTACCACTCCTGACAGCACCATCGCAGCTTCCTGCTACTCATTTTGTTAGGCAGAAGTGTAGTTGTTCAAAGGAATCTCATCATAGACACTTTCCTATGTAGACAGACCGTACTTTAGGCAGTCTGTCTGCATGTGTTTGCATATATGTGTGTAATTTAGATCTTCCACGCATGAGGGAAAACCCACTTCCTTTGTCACTCTGAGCCTGACTTACCTCACAACATAACTCTGTGATAAAATTGACCGACTAGCTAAAATGACTGTGCTCTGTAAGGGATTTTTATGGTGGTAACCGTCTCTCCTAGGGTCTCCAAGGAAGCCCGGGCACCCCTGGCACGCCAGGCCCAGCCGGGCCTCCTGTAAGTACTGTCTTAGCCCCACCTGCCGGAGGACTGCCTTACTTTGTCCTCTGGGCCTCAATCCAGAGTGCTGAATGGCTGCCTACAGACAGCCTCACCCTACACCCACACCCATACCTACACCCTCACCCACACCTACCCCCACACCCATGCTCATACCTACACTCTCACCCAAATCTATGCCCACACCTACACCCACACCCATACCTACACCCTCACCCAAACCTATGTCCACACCTACACCTATACCCTCACCCACACCTATACCCACACCTAGACTTACACCCTCAACCACACCTATGCCCACATCTATACCCACACCTAGACCTACACCCTCACCCAAACCTACGCCCACACCTACACCCTCACCCAAACCCCCATACCTACACCTTACCCACAACTTTGCCCACAAATATACCCATACCTACACCCCCACCTATACCCACACCCATACCTACTCCCTCACCCAAACCTATGCCCACATCTACACCCACGCCCATAACCTATGCCCACACCGATACCTACACTGACACCCACAATCCCAGTTCTCACACAGTCACTGCAGGCTTCTTCCAGACCGCAGTGAAAGATGCTGCAGAGACAACAGCAATTAGAGAAGACAGAATGCAAAATATTTGATATTTCTTGACATCAGCCTTCAGAAGAGATGTTCCAACGGCAATACAAGCTGAGAATTTATTTTGTAGGAGAAACAAAATGGAGCGAAGATGACTGAATTTATTTTTGTTCCTATATATAAATTTTTAACACTATCTCAGTCAAAGCTCCTGCTGCTCCCTAAAACACACCATCATGGCCATTGTGTCTTTATGTTGGTTATCCTTTTTATCCTGGTTATCTTTTTTGTGCTGGTTCTGGGTTTTGAACTCAGGGCCTTACTCTTTTTATTTTTTTTTTTGGTCAGTCGTGGGGCTTGAACTCTGGGTCTGGGTGCTGTCACCCAGCTCTTTAGCTCAAGGCTTGTGCTCTACCACTTGAGCCACAGCACCACTTCTGGCTTTTTTTCTGCTTCTGTGGTGCCGAGGAATTGAACCCAGGGCCTCATGAATGCAAGGCAAGCCCTCTACCACTGAGCCACCTTCCCAGCCCCCTCAGGGCCTTACTCTTGAGCCATATTTCTACTTCCAGCTTTTTGCTAATCCATTGAAAATAAGAGTCTCAAGAATGTGTCTTCTCTGGTGTCTTTGAAATGAGATCCTCAGATTTCAGGCTCCAGAGTAGCTAGGGTTACAGGTGTTAGCCAATGGCACATGGCTTTTTTTTTTCTTTTTTTCTTCTTGCACCAGTACCAGAGCTTGAGCTGGTGAACTTGAGCCATACCTCCCGCCCTGGTCATTCTAGCTCCCTAGAAGGGATTTTTTTTTCTTTTTTCACCTGCCAAATGTAGCCATTTACTCAGAGTTTATTCTAGGTGATACTCAAATTCAATTGCAAATAACACAGCTACATTTCAGTTTCAGATTGGCACATATGTTTTTAGTTTAAGTTCGTTGCAAATAATGTGTTTATTGGCTAAATCCAGCCATCTAACACATGCTTCAACTTCTCATCACTTCCCTCCTGAAAATCTTGGTGCGTCTTAAACGTTGAGTAATAAAATCACACGTTTTGTGCCAGTGGTAGGGCCTGAGCTCGGTGCCTTGCATGATTTGCACGGCTTTTTCTCCCAACACTGGCGCTCTACCACTTGAGCCACAGCTCTGCTCCCAGGTTTTGGGCGGTAATTGGGATCGTACACGCTTTCAGCATGTACTGGCTTGAAACCCAGGCCTCATCCCAGCTCCGGAGTGGCAGGGACTCTGGAGTGGGCCACAGGGTCGGGGTTTAAATGGAGTGTGAGGAGCAGCAGGCACCCCCGCTGACTGTTCCCAAAGAGGAACTGGAGTGGATTTCCTTCCCGAGGCTGAGGTCCACAGGACGTCATAGGGGCTGCCATCAGCGGAGGGCGGGCGCCGCGCGGACTCGCTCCGGTCACTTCCTGTGGCCGCCTAGCGAGCACTGTGGGCCGAGCCCAGCACGAAAAGCAGACCCCAAGACCCGCCGGCTTCTCTCCCTGCAGGGCTCGTCGGGGAGGAGCGGACACCCGGGGCCCAAGGGCGCCAAGGTGCGGAGCGTCCCCAGGGAGGGGGGGACAGAGGGCGGGAAGGCGAGCTCATCCTCACATTCGCAACACGCGAGATCGCGGCCTGGCGGAGGTCCGAGCCGCCCGGGGGATGGCGAGCCCAGCAAGGCGTGCGGAACTCGCGAGGCCACTGCCTGGCCTGGCGGAGGCCTGAGCCATCGGGCGGGGGGGGGGGGGGGCGGGGAGGCGGACCCAGCCCGGCGCTGGGAACACGGGAGGCCGCTGCCTGGCAGAGGACCTAGCCACCTGGCGCAGCCCGCAGGGCCCAGGCACCCTCGTCCGCACACGCACGGAGCGGGCCTGGTGCTAAGCCCAGAGAGGCAAGCCCGCCGCGGGGAGGCCGGCCGGACCCCCTCTCTGCTAGGCAAGAACACAGAATCAGAGGCATCCGCAGAATCAGAGTTCCCACATGCATGCCCCAGGGCGGGCCTAGCCCGATGCCCCTACAACTCCTGGAGGCCTCTTCAAATAAACACGCCCTTCCACCCTGCTTTTTTCCTCTCTTTCTGTGTCAGTGCTGGGGCTTGAACTCTGGCCTAAGCCAGCTTTCTGACTCAAGGCTGGCGCTTTACCACTTGCACCACAGCCCCGCTTTTGGCTTCTCGGTGGTTACTTGGAGATGAGCCATGGACGTCCCTGCCTGAACTGGCTTTGAACTGCGATCCTCTGATTTCAGCATCTGAGCCACGGGGATCAGCCGCTGGTGCAGGCTATCTTGCTTCCTTTTTGTTAATAGAGAGTGTCTGTTGACATGAAGCCCGTAATCAAATTTGGGAAGTGTTTTACTGACACTGGACTTTTTATTAACCATTTCTTGCATCGTGACTGAAACTTAAAACATTTGTGAGGCTATAAATGTAAAAGCAATGCAGTTATATACACAAGTGGCTAAAGACTAGAGGCCACAATAGCCCCGTCTCATATTCTGATAGATATTCTATACTCTTAGAAAATGAAAGGAACTACATTTGTCCAGTTTCAACTTTGTTTTACAGAATTCCACTTGCACCTTCCTTTGCTCCTAGGCTGTGTCCATGCAGGGCACCCCTCCTGCCCTGCTCCCCATACCCCTGCTGTGTGTGGTGTCTGACTGGGGTCCAGTACTAAGGAGGGAGCAGTGCCTCAGGCGGATTGTGATTTTCTACTCTGCTCAAATCACATGGCTGTTGCCACTGGTGCCCAAAAGAGGAAGATGGCAGAGGTTAGGCTCTGAGCGAGGGCAACCCCTCTGAATTTGCAGTACCCACTGGAGGGGACCCCAGGCTCTCCCCAGAGGCCCGAGGCTCATGTAGCTCTGTTTAAAGTGAGCCTGGTCCACTAGAGCTCCCTGAGTGAGGATCTGCTTGGGTGTGGGGTGGGCACAGCTGGCACCTACAAACCATTGGCAGGCAGAGGCAAGGGCCATGCCAATCATATCTGCAAGCCCATTAGAAAGGCAGCCAGGTCACAGTGTGTCAGGGATGGCTCCGAGCAGTCAGAGCGGACTTACAGTCATGGAGATGATTTTACATTTGTTTTCCTTGCAGGGAAGCGAGGGCCCCCCTGGGATTCCTGGACCTCCCGGACCTCCTGGACCACCTGTGAGTTCTTTCAGGGTTAAAACTTCACCACCACTGGTTTACTCACAACTTTTCTCACTCTAGATCTCCCAGCACTGTCTCCTGAGATGTTTGCCTGTATATAAATCACAGCCAGTGCCACGTGCAGAGACCACTGGGCCTCTCTAGCTCAGCCCTAATCTGTACTGCTCAGATTTATGTGCCCTGAGCCTCCCCAGGATGGCCTGGGGTCTGGGTGATGGGGAGGCCTTCCAACCTCATCAAGCCTCCCTTGCCTAGAGGGTGCTTAAAAAGCAGAGAGCCTTCCTGGCAAGGTGAGTTGGCTCTTTAAATGTGGCATTATTAATAAAGTTAAAAAATACAGCATTATACTGTGTGTGTTCATCCCCCACATGGTGTCTGAGGCAAGAGGCAATGCATCCAGGGCCCCCTGCTGACTGCAGCTGCCCTGGAGAGGCAGGCCATGGGGATGGTGTTGGAGGACGCAGAGGGAGGATGGGGCCGTGCTCCAAGCCATGTCTGCCTTCTCTGGGGTCAGGCTCGAATCGCAGACCTGCTGAGGTCCATGCCAATCTTGGTTCCTTTCCACTCCTGGGGAATTTTGAAGCCAAAGCAGTAGAAAAAGGGAGTTGTTTTCTGAAAACCGCAGGGTGTGTTAGGATCCTGTGCACACTTGTACATTTTACACACAATAAAGAGATGGACTCTCTACCAAATTTGCTCTGGTAAGTCTTTCTCCTTTGATCAAAAAATCAAGGCAGAACATACTTGGAGTTCAAATTCTAAAATACTCTGTCTTCTCTTCTGGAAGTTAAAAAAAATCAAGGACTCCATTGCAACAATGAGATGTACAAGACGTTATGTTAAAAAATGAACTTTACAACTTTGGTGCTGGGCAGGGAGAGGGGAGGAAGAGATGGGAAAGGATGGTAAGGGGAAACAAAAGAGGAGACAACAATGCTTGATAAGAAATGTACTCATTACCTTGCTCATGTAATTGTAACCCCTCTGTTCGGTATTTTCACACACACAAAAAAATTGAGGTCTCATGTAAGGGCCAGAGGATTTTATAGTGGCTTAAGAAATGCACACTTAGTGGCAAAAATATTTTTTTCCAAGATGTACATTAAGTATATACTCTGAGAAATGTACTCTGAAAAATCTCAGAAGTATTCTTCCTTTAGGATGCAGTATGTATTGTAACAGAACACATGGATGGTTTTCTTCTATGAATGATGTTTTGAAGATGTGCAAACTCTAGTTTCTGAGCACACGAGTGTCATCAATTGGAAACAGTGACATGACAGCTCCTCTGATTTAGCAACTAGAGTGGAGAAAATTATGGAAAGGATAATACACTTTCATAATGGGTTTTAAGGATCCTTTACCCCTTTGCAACATTTCAAAACTGAGGTTTTTCTATGCCATACTGGGTGCCCTGCTCGCCCCTGTGATCCTGGCCACTGAGGCTGAGCTCTGAAAAGCTCAGTTTGAAGGCAGCCCAAATAGAAGAATCTGTGAGACTCTCTTCTCCAGTTGACCAGCAAAAACCTGGAAGTAGAACTGTGCCTCAAATAGTAGAGCATCATCTTTCAGTGAAAAGCCAACCAAGAGCACCAGGCCCTGTGTTCAAATCCCAGTATCAGCCCATAAAACCATTTCCATATGCCGTATTTTCCCCAAATGCTGAAATGTATGATTGTTTAAACTGCAGAATGAGTTGTTTAAGTGTTGATTACTCAGGAATTTTATATTCATGTGTCTCTTATTAGAGGAAGCCCTAAACCTGTTTTTGTGGAAACAGGTTTCACAACACATGGTTGAGAATGAAGCCAGCTTTCTATTTGCCAATTTCTTTTTTTGGGGGGGCGGGGCGGGGGGTCCAGTCATGGGCCTGAACTCTGGGCCTGGGCACTGTCCCTCAGCTCTTTAGCTCAAGGCTAGCACTCTACCACTTGAGCCACAGTGCCACTTCCGGCTTTTTTCTTTTTGCTTATGTGGTGCTGAGGAATCGAACACAGGGCCTCATGCATGCAAGGCAAGCACTCTACCACTGAGTCACCTTCCCAGCCCATGCCTAATTTCTTATTTGGTGTGAAGAGACGGAGCGGTGTTACTCCTACCCCAGCTGCTTTTGTACCCCTGCACTGGCCAGTCCCATGCGAGAGTCACCAGGCTGTGAATACTTAGCACAGATTGACAATTTGAAAGCTGAATTCAGTGAGCAAATACTGCTTTTCCTGTGAATGACTGAGTCTCCTCTGCGAGGCTGACCACAGGTCCTACATGGAAGCGTGTCTGCGCACTTTGCTCACAGGTGCCCTCCCCAATCCCTGCAGCAGCTAATCAAAGAGTATTAAACCACTATCAAAAATAGCATAAGATGGGCTGGGAAGGTGGCTCAGTGGTAGAGTGCTTGCCTTGCATGCCTGAGGCCCTGGGTTCAATTCCTCAGCACCACATAAGAAAAAAGAAAAAAGCCAGAAGTGGTGCTGTGGCTCAAGTGGTAGAGCGCTAGCCTTGAGCTGAAGAGCTGAGGGATAGCGCCCAGGCCCAGAGTTCAGGCCCCACGACTGGACCCAAAAAAAAATAGCATAAAATAAAATAGGAAATAAGTTTTAAGTAAAGGGAGGAGGATGGAGGGGTGACACTGGTCAGGTGTATTGAACACAAACTGACAAGTCGAATTGAAATCCTGTTCAACTACTTAAAGGTGATAAAAGTGGTGTTTTGTTGTTTGTTTGTTTGTTTTAAAAAATGACAGGCTGGGAAGGTGGCTCAGTGGTAAGAGTGCTCACCTCTCAGGCATGAGGCCCTAGGTTCAATTCCTCAGTACCACAGAAGCAGAAAAAGCTGGAAATGGTGCTGTGGCTCTAGTGGTAGAGCACTAGCCTTGAGCTGAAGAGCTGAGGGACAGTGCCCAGGCCTAGAGTTCAGGCCCCATGGACCAACCAAAAAATAAATAAATAAAATATATTGTACTGTGAACAAACAGGACCATCACCATCCTGTGATGGAAGGTGGAAATGCTACAATAACCCTGACTCTCCTCTCTCCCCAAGGGTGTGTACTTCAGCGACAGCAACGGCATGGGCAGCTTGTATAAAATCCAGGTATTGACAAGTGTGATGTGAGATGATTTCCCAGCTAGGTTGGCCATCCATTCTTATCCTCGTCCTCCTCTTCTTTTTAAGGGAGGCGTGAATGTTCCCAGTTTTCCAGGACCACCTGGCCCCCCGGTGAGTCTTATCTTTTCTCTCCTAGCATACCTCTATGTACAAGTAGCCAATAACCAGTATTACAAAAGGAGGGAAGAAGTAAAACCAATTGTAATGAAACTGAGAAAATAACAGCCATAGTAATGGACACAATTTAGTATAGTGTTTTTACTTATAAGTCCTTGTGCAAACAGTTCTTGTCAGGTTGTCAGGCAGTCTAGTCAAGTGGTTTCTTAACCTTCACTTTCAAATCCAAACTAGCAAAAGCAAACCTTGGCAAATACTCTTAAACTAAGCATTAAAACATGTTGGACAAAAATGCCTCGTATTCTCATAATTGTGTTTGTCACTATTTAAAAATGATCTCACATGTATTTCTTACAGGGTCCAAAAGGGGATCTTGGCCCAGTGGTATGTATGCTTCCATGCTTGGTGTCATTTACCAAATAGATCTTTACATAGTTGAAAGATGAGCATCAGGCAAAGAGGCCCTGCCTCCTTGACTACTGAGAGAGACAGAAGCCACCAACCACAGACACGCCTGCTATGTTGGATTGTTCTCCCTCCCTTCCTTTCTCTCTCCCTCCCTTTTACTTTGTTTTATTATCTTTAAGTAGTTGTACAAAGGAGTTGCCACTTAACAAAGCAGTTTGTGAATGCAATGAGTCTTGATCAATGTCATCCCTTTCAACTCTCTTACCCCCCCCCCAATCCACCCCTTCTCTTAACTCTTCTAGACTGTGTAAACATACACTGGATCCTTGACTGCCTGTGTGCTTTATTGTTAAGATTCATTAGTTGCAACGTCACTGTCCTTGAGCTTTGTCTCTTTCTCTTAGCGTGTTTGTAAAATCATACAATGGAGGTTGGTGCATATAAAACCCCTGATAACTAGTACACTTGGCTTCTTTTGAGGACTGATTCAGCTTCAAGTAGATCTTGGAAAAGAAATCCTCCTGAGACAGAAATTCCTTAATTTGTCTGACATCTGACAGACAAGAAGGAAGGCACTGTCTTTTCTTTGAATGTCTGGAGCAGTTATTCTGTTCCCAGAATAATGTATGCTCTTATTCCAGGCTCGTGAGGAGGAATGCATCCTGAGGTTCACACTCAGCCTGAGGGAGGCAGAAGGGGCATGTCCTCCATGACCTCCCAAGGGAACAGAGTGCTCACTGTTCTCAGCATCTCTCCACCCACCAAATCCAATCAGATTCTCTTTGATCTCTGGCATTTTTTTTTTTTTTTTTGCCGGTTGTGGGGACCTGAACTCTGGGCCTGGGTGCTGTCCCTTGGCTCTTCAGCTCAAGGCTAGCGCTCTACCACTTGAGCCATAGTGCCACTTCTGGCTTTTTCTGCTTATGTGGTGCTGAGGAATCGAATCCAGGGCCTCAGGCATGCAAGGCAAGCGCTCTACCACTGAGCCACCTTCCCAGCCCATGATCTCTGGCATTTTTTCCTGCCACTTTTCCTTTTCAAGCTTATGTTCCATCCTTCCTGTTCTTTTTGTACATCTGTTTAGCCTTTCGGTATAAACTTAAAACTCAGATGTATCTGAAGCTGAAATAAGCTTTGAAACTACTTTCTACTGGCACTGGAGGAAGCATAAAGTGCTACAAGTTATAAACGCTATGGATAAATATCAGACCAGCAAATAAATGAGCTAGAAAAAGCTCATCTATAAATTCCATATCAACCTCTGTTTTTGAGAGTTTTTATTTTTGTTGTTAGTTTCATTGTGCCAGTACTGGGGCTTGAATGCAGGGTCCGGGTGCTGTCCCTTTTGTGAGGAAAGATCAAGCAGAGGAAAGGAAATAAGACCCCAGAGAGCACATCAGCATTTAATCACTGCTAAAGAGGGGCCACATAGCACTGAGAAGAGTCCAGGATGATACGGGGCGAGAGGGTGGGGTGTGGGGTCAGATGCCATTGGCTTTGAGGTTTGGATTTGGAATGTCCTTGTGGTTGTAGCAGAGGGCCCTGTTTAGGGCCTGTGACGTCTTTGCAGATCTGGCAGAAGGCCCTGTACCTTCAGACATCTCTGAAAACAGCTCAAGGCTGGGGGTTCTGATGAGATTCTGGGGGCATTGCAGGGCGCCCCCTTGGGGAAGGGTGGTGAGTAGGCCCTGGGAGCAGCACCGAGTTAGGAGAACAAAGCAGAGTCCCACTGCCATGGCTTTGCTTCACTCAAGGCTGGTATTGTACCACTTGAGCCGCACCTCCATTTCTTCTTTGGGGCAGTTAAATCAGAGTCTCACAGACTTTTCTGCCTCGGGTTGGCATCAAACCACAATCCTCATATCCCAGTTTAGAAGGCTGATGTTCCACCATTTAAGCCACAGCATCAGTAGATGATAAGTGTCTCATGGACTTTTCTTATCAGACTGGCTTCCAATCACCATCCTCAGATCTCAGCCTCCTGAGTAGCTAGGATTACAGGTGTGAGCCACCAGCTCACATATCCAGTAGTCCCAGTATTTCTAATCTGAGTAAACTTGTATAGGGAAACATTACCCTTAAGTGAACTTAATATCTGAGAATCATTCTGTTCCTTTGATAGTCAAAATATAAGTGATTATATATGATCATGTGATCATAGATGTGATCATGTAATCACATGATCCGTGCATTATGCTAATATAAGTATTAACCTCTTTCAAATAAACAATGCCTCCTTTTTATAATTTTAATTTTCGGATGGTTGTACAAAGAGATTACAGTTTTACATTCAAGCCTTGCCTGCTCCACCTCCAGCCCCTTCCCTGCCAGTCCTGTCCCACCCAGGCTGCCACTCCTTTGTCTCACCTGTGCACTGAGTGTTGAGACTGTTCACCCACAGTTCCTTCTGCATTGACCCCTTCTCTCTGGATTCCTTCACTCGTTTTCCTTCACTTTGTTGAAGCGTCTGTGGCTTGATCAAAAGGTGGCCTTCTAAAGATGGAAAAGCAAAGCATTCTTTTATTTTGTCAGCGACTCGGGCTTTTTCACAGACCCTGAAGCAGCATAGAATTGGAACAGCTTAACAGTTACAGTGAGGACTGACAGGATGCATATAGTGTGCATTTACAAATGATTTCTGAGGCCTTAGGACCCCCAGTGATGATGTTCCATATCCAGAAGTCTGTAATAAAAATGTAAATGCAAGTGGGAGTTAGGGCCTTGATAAGATTTTTGAAAGTAGATTGAAATTGTATTGCAAAAATACATTTATGGAATGCAATTTAAAAGTCCACTTTTCTATATGATTATGTTTAAATCACTTAGTGTCCTAAGAAAAATATTTGCAGTTAATAGCAGTTCATTAATAAGAAAGAATCAAATAACTCCCCAGGTCTCCTCTGCCGCATCTATATGTTTACAACTAGTCATTCTTTGACCAAGGTTTTCCAGATGTGTTCCTGGAAAGCCTCTGGGCTCCAGTAGCTTGGGACCTGTCACAGGAGATCTGCCTCTGCAGATGCAGAAATGGCTAAAGAATGAGAAACTCTGCTTTCAGAACGCCAAGCTCAGTCTCTTCTTCTCCCTCTCCATTTCTCCTGGGTTTTGAAGTCAGGGCCTCATGCTTTCTAGGCCGGTGCTTTACCTCTTGAGCCATACTTGCAACCCCTCACTCACTTAGAAATTTAAGGCTATTCCCTGGTAATCTGCTACACTGAGGCACCTCACAAGTTGGCCAACTTTGTTACCTTCCACCCCTTCATCATCCCTTCATTCTAGTTGCTGTTAGAGTTATCAATGACTACAACAATGCATTCTGATTAAGTTCCTAACCAGGAAATATATCCCCACTTTTCTGGAGAGTGGCCCTTTTACTTTGATATGAAAGTTTGAGCTCAGGGCCTTGTGATGGCTCAGGCACTATCAGCACCTGAGTCATGCTACACACACATACACATACCCCTTTTTACTTCGGTCATGTCAGGGGGGGTCTTGTTTTTGTGTGTTTGTGTGTGTGTATGTGTGTGTGTTTGTGTGTGTGTGCCAGGCTAGCCTGGGCCCCTTTCCACTTTGGTCATGTCGGTGGGGTTTGTGTGTGTCTGTGTATGTGTGTGTGTGTGCATGCCAGGCCAGCAGTCACATTGGTGGAGTCTCTTGGGTGTGCCAGGCTGTCCTGGGCTGTTATTCTTCTATTTTTGCTTCCCACAAAGCAGGGATGACAGGTGTGCACTTCCACATCCAGCTGCTTATTGATACTGACTTGGAGATGACTTACTGGTCTCACCCCAACTTTCCTCTTAACCATCCTGATTTCTACATCCTGAGTAGCAAGGATTATAGGCATCAGCTCACATGCACATATAAGAACAGTTTTCATTGTCAAACTACTTTCAGACTATCTCACACTATCATATACCAAATGCAATAATACATTGCTTGAAAATAGCACATTCCACCAGGCACGGGTGACTCATGCCTGTAATCTTACCTACTTCAGAATCTGAGATCTGGAGAGTTGAGGTTTGAAGCCAGCCTGGGCAGAAAGTGAGGCTCTGTCTCCAAAATAACTAGAATAAAACAAATTTGGAGGCAGGGGTCAAGTAGTAGTGAACTAGTCAAGTAAGCATGAGGCCTTGTATTCAAACACCAATATTGTCAAATAAACAAAGGAAGGACAAAATTAACAAGGTTTAAGAAACAAAGAACTTCCACTTATCTGGTTGAATAACCCCATGCTGCTGATTACATATATGGTATACATGTGCATACCGGAGGGAAACCAGGAAGACAACACAGAACTAGAGGGAATCAGGGAAAACATAGAACAGGGGGACCCATCAGCTGCACTGGACATTGATCAAAATGAACTAAGCAACTCAATGGCAGGATGGGAGGGAGGGAATGAGTGGGAAAGAGGGAACAGCTGACACTATGCAAAACAAAAGAAATACATATATCACCCAATGTAGAAGAAATAACTGTATTGCAAAGCTCATAGAACTCATAAATGTTATAAACCACGATAGACAATTTGCCCCATGAAAGTTAGAATGTGTTTGTGACTTTAAGCATAACTATCCCACAATACTGTGAAATTTGGGAAATTATGTAATCACTTGATCACAATAAAGAGTTTGAAAAAAAAGTAAGGAAGGGAACAGAGCAAACCACTTACTTGTTAAATTATAAATCAACAAGAAGCTAGACAGTGTTAGAATGAGGAAAAAAATATTTGCTTGTAAACCAACTCCTGAAATCCTTTGATCACAGCCACTGCCCTCTCTGGTTTTATTTAACAGGGAGAGCCTGGTGCCATGGGGTTGCCAGGACTGGAAGGATTTCCAGGTGCAAAGGTAAGCACAGAGGTACAAAGGAGCCCATTCAGCCTTTGGAGGTGGGGGAAGCAGTGACAGATTGACAGACAAACAGGAGGAGAAAGAGGGAGTTGAAGTGCTGCATAATATCTTTAAACAGCTAGAGGAAAGGGGCCCTAGGTAGCATCGTCAGTAGCTGCTAGGAAAGCCAGGGGCGGGAGAAGAGATGAATATATGGAAAGATAGACTGTGATACTGGGGGTTGACCTCATGACCTAGAAATACATCTTTAATATAGTCCATTCTAAAAGTTTATTTCTCTTTTTTATCCTTTTATTTCACTTTTGTACACAAAATGTTACTTTTGTTTGGACTAACAGATTCTAGCTCTTTCATAGCTTTATTTATTTATTTAGTACTGGTACTGGGGCTTGAAGTCAAGGCCTAAGCACTGTCTCTTAGCCTTTTTATTCAAATCTTGTGCCCTACCACTTAAGCCACAGCTCCACTTCCAGCTTTTATGGTGGTTCATTGGAGATAAGAGTCTTACGGACTTTCCTTCCCAGGCTGGGAGGAATTGAACTGTGATCCTCAGATCTCAGCCTCCTGAACAGCTAGGATTACAGGCATGAGCCACCAGTGCCTGGCTTTTAAAAATATTTCATACCATTTTTATCTTTTGTAACTCATGTGGAACTTATATGAGACATGATACAGAGAGAGAAATTAGACACTTTGAGGGAAGTTATCCAGTTATTTATGTATCCATTTAATGATACGAGTCTTTCTTTACTAAAATCTTATTATGAATACTGGCTTGCTTCTGAGATTTACGTTTTATGAAGGTGGAGTACTGCTTAACCTTCTGCCAATAGTCCCTCATTTTAATTCTTGTGGCCTTATTACATGTTTATATATTAATAGTACTACTGTCTATTATTTAACTTTTATTATTTTATTATGCCAAAAATCTTTTATATCTTTTGCTCAAACTGCAATTGTGTAACCATTTTATTAACTTTATATTCAGACTGTAATGACACTTTCACTACCCATCTTATCTCCAAGAACAAAGCATATCTTTAATTTAACTAAGTCTTCTATACCCCTCAGTGAAGCCCTGAAGTTCCTTTTTGGTGTGGGTCTGCCCCAGCAAGGTTGCATTGCATTGCCCCACATGTAATCATCAGAAAGCTCAGCGGCGTCAGCTCTGCTTGACAAGGACTCTGTTTCTCCACAACTAGCTGATTGGATGAGGAATAAGACAAATGGAATTCTAATTCTGTTTCATCCTGCATCCAATGAGGCAAGCACAGGAAACAGCTTCAGCTGACTCATGTGCTTAATCTTTCAAGAAATGGTTTGTTTGAATCATTTTATAGAATAAAATAATGACTACTTTTAACTGTATGGATGTATCAGATCTTACTAAACAGGTCACAGACTCATCATAATACTTTTTTTTATTTTAACTATTATTTATTTTGGTTGCAGTGGTGAAAATGAAAATACAGCCAGTTTAGTGAGACCCTTTGTTGATTTCCTGCCTAGACTCTAGTTTCATGTCAGCTTATTAGTATTTATCAAATTCAAACCAAAGCTTTACCAAACATGAACTGTATTTGACGATTAGCTTTATAAACAAATACTTCAGCAATTCCATTTTAAGTGGCATTTTAAACTTTTAATCCCCACAGGGAGATCGAGGCCCAGCTGGGCCACCAGGAACAGCCGGGGCATCGGTGAGTCCACACAAATGCACTTTACATTACCGCTAAAGGTGAACTGTGTGCACACCTTGAGCCACCAATCGCCACAACTCCACTGGCATTAGGCTCCTGGAGTCTCTGGTTTAAAAACTACAGATCTCTCCGAAGTTAAGAATGCTATCTGTGTGTGTGTGTGTGTGTGTGTGTGTTCACCTGTGTGTGCAAACACACAGGCCAGTACCAGGACTTGAACTCAGAGCTCCCACTTCCTGCTTTTTGCTGTCACTTGGAGATAAGAGTCTCAGGGATTTTTCTTCTCAGCTAGGATTCCAACCTCTATTATCAGGGGTCTTAGCTTCTTGAATGGCTAGTATACAGGTGTGAGCCCCCCAGTGCCTAGCAACAATGCTGTTCCGTTTCCACATTAAGAATGTTGTTTCTTGGTTTGGGTTTTTGTTTGTTTGTTTGTTTTTTGGGTTTTTTTGCCCCATCGGGGACCCACATTCGTGTGTGCTCTGCTCTGAACACTTCCCTCCGATCTGCTTGTGTTTTGAGGTTTCTGCCGTCCTGGGCCGTCCCTTCAAGTTCCTGTATAATAGGAGCTTCTTCCCATGTGAGGGGGCTGTCACCCCAGGCCAGCCCCACCCCACCCCAGCCTGGGACACCCTCCCACACCGGGGCCTGGGCCCCTCCTCCTGCCCAGGCCCTCGTAACACCTGCTCCCAAACCAGTCCTTCACTCCCTGGTCATTTTGCTGCCCTCTGGGGCCAGTGCTTTAATCTCACCACCGTCTTTTCCAGGGAATGGAAAGCATTGGGAAGGCTGAGTTGCTTCTCTGAGCTGGGGTCCTTCTGATCTTCATTCCTGAGGCTTTAATTAAAACTTATGGCCATGCTTGATGACTCAGAGGTCATTGACCTTTTGGTGGTGCTCTGGGCAGGCGGGCAGGCCCAGGGTACGCATGTCAGGAAAGTCTGCAGAACCACCAGCTAGGGTTGTAGAACTATGAGAAAGATGGGGAAGGGCCCCACCCAGCCCCCCTCACACCTGCCTACCTCCCACCTTCCTACCTCACCTCCTGCCATCCTGCCCCACCCCCTGCCTCACCCAAAGTCCCACTGTGGCCAACACCATCTCCCACCAACCCAGTCCTGAAAGGAACAGTAGCCCCCACCTTACTCCTTTTATATACCAAGTCAAGTAGCAGAACAGAAAACCCCATCACTTTATCTTTTACTGAGAATGGCATCCTTTATTGAATTTGTTCAGCTCCAAATAATAATTTGTATGAGACTAAAAGTTAAAAATGAACTTTTTTAACAAGTGTGTGTGTGTGTGTGTGTGTGTGTGTGTATCCAGTCCTGGAACTTGAACTCATGGTTTGGGCAATATCCTTGAGCTTTTGTCACTCGGGGCGAACATGCTACCACTTGAGCCACAGCTCCACTTCAGGCTTTTTGATGGCTGGTGCATTGGAGATAAGATTCTCAAGGACTTTCTTGCCCAGGCTGGATTTGAACTGTGATCCTCAGATCTCAGTCTCCTGAGTAGCTGGGATGACAACAGTGAGCCACCAGCGCCTTTCTTCTCCATGGTGGACTACATGTTAGATGGTGGCTTATCCCCCACTCCCCTCCTCACAGCACTTTTAGGATTCTGTTTCTGGAATTGTCCTTAGATCATCTTGGTAAGCCATTCTTGTTTACACCCTCATTCTGCATCCGTGTGATCTAGTGAAGCTTAATTTCCCCAGTCTCACCACAGTGTGAGTACAAAGCTCTTTTTGATAAGTGTCAGTTCTGGGGCTTGAACTCAGGGCCCTGTTGCTCTCGCTTGGCCTGTTGCTCATAGCTGGCACTCTACCACCTGAATCACACCTCCAGCTTGACTCTTTGCTGGCTAATTGGAAATCGTCTCTCTCAGACTTTTCTGCCTGGCTGGATTTCAAATATATATTGTTATTACTATTTTTATCTTCAAATAGTTGTTCAAAGGGATTTCAATTCAGCATGTCCAGCTGACTTTGCCACACCATCGCATGTTAAATGGGGAGACAGATGGGCCCTGGGGTGCTCGCCTGCAGCCCAGATGTTCAGGAGGCCGATGCCTGAGCATGTGGTTTGAAACCAGCCTGGTTAAGAAGTCTGTGAGACTCTTACCTCCAGTTGACCAGCCAAAAGTGGGCAGTGGAGGTGCAGGAAGCTGTCTCCTGATGTCTCTTTCTGCTTTGCTTCACCAGGGAAAGCCCGGCCGTCCAGGTCCACCAGGAGCCCCCGGCGAGCCGGTGAGTGGCCAAGAACCTCTGTTGCGGGCATACCGTGTCAGAGAACTGCCAGCCATTGATGTGTTCTGGGGACACCCTTACAGGGCCAGAGAGGACCCATGGGAGATGTGGGCTTCCCTGGACCGGAGGGGCCCGTGGGAAAGCCGGTGAGTACCGCCTGCCTGCCCAATGGGTTCTAGCATCCCCTCCCCCTGCCCGTCTCTGGAAATTGCCAGGCTTAGAAAGAAGTAAGAGCACTTCTGACAAATGGACAGGCAAGGGGGGAGTCCCTGTGTTGTGTCTTTATGTTTCACTCAGTAGTGGACAAGGATGGATTGCAGTGAAGGAAAGTTGGCCAATTCCTTCAGTCTCAGTATTCTTAGCAGAGTTAAAAAATAAAATGGTGGGGCTGAGGGTGTAGCTTAGTGGTAGAATGCTTGCCCAGCATGCATGAAGCCCTGGGTTTCATTCCTCAGTACCACATACAGAGGAAAAGCCAGAAGTGGCACTGTGGCTCAAGTGGTAGAGCACTAGCCTTGAGCAAAAGAAGCTCAGGGACAGCGCACAGGCCCGGAGTTCAAGCCTCAGGATTAGCAAAAATAAATAAATAAAATGGCCTGTCACATCCTAGAACAGAAAGTGAAAGACCCAAAGACAACAGCCCTAGGAATCTGCGAGGGAGGCAGAAGCTCTTCTCTCCAGTCCCTTCCCTTCTACCCGGCCTGCTCCACTTTATGGGTCACCATTGCCCTGATGGTTGTTCCTGGCCCAGTGTCCTGACATGAGGGCTGTGTTCAGTCACGCCCTGCTCTGCAGTGTGTATCTGCTGCATGGTGTGTATCTGCTTCATGGTGTGCATCCGCTCTGCAGTGTGCATCTGCTGCATGGGGTGCATCCACTGCATGGGGTGCATCCGCTGTATGGTGTGCATCTGCTTCATGGGGTGCATTGGCTCTGTGGTGTGCATCTACTCTATGCATCTGCTGTGTGGTGTGCATCTGCTGCGTGGTGTGCACCTGCTGCTTGGTGTGCATCCGCTCTGTAGTGTACACTTGCTCTGTGCATCTGCTGTGCCCTGTGCATCTCCTGGCTGCCACTTGTGAAGAAGGAGCCTGGTGGGAGGGAGGGCCTGGCCCTGAGCCTGACACACCCTACCTCTTTTTGCAGCATAGGACAATACTAGGGCTAAAGCTGGTGCCCATGGGTGTTAGGAAAGTCTCTACTACCAAGCCTTTCCTGTAGCCTTTCTATGTTCCAGTTCTTTTCCAGTTAGGGTCTTGAGTGTTTTCAAGGCTGGCCTAAAACCACAGTCTTTCTAGCTATCCCTCCTGGGTAGCTGGGATTACAGACAGGGCCCCATTGTACCAAGTTTATCTGGTTAAGATGGGGTCTTATTAATATTTTTTCTGTCACTAGGACTTGACCTCAGGTCCTGGGTACTGTTCCTTATCTTTGTCACTAAAGGCTGGTGCTCTACCACTTGAACCACAGCTCTACTTCTGGCTTTTTGCTGGTTAATTAAGAGTCTCACAGGCTTTGTTGCCTGGGCTGGATTCAAACCTCAATCCTCAGATCTCAGCCTCCTGAGTAGTAGGATTACTGGTGTGAGCCATCAGTGAAAGGGAAGGGGAGACATGGTTCCAGAAGAATTGTATTCAGTACCTGATTCATGTACCTATCACTCCTCTGTATATCAAGTCTACAGTAACAATAAAAATAAAAGTAAATCTTTAAATAAAAAAGGTCAGGGAATCAGGAGAAAAGTAAATGGGGCCAGGTGCTGTGGCTCATGCTTGTGATCCTGACTATGGAAGAGGCTGAGGTCTGAGGGTGTCCATTTGAAGCCAGACCAGGCAGGAATGTCCCCAGCACCCTAATTTCCAATTAACCACCACAAAGCTTGGAGTGGAGCTATGGCTGAAATGATGAGTGCCAATCTTGAGTGGAAAAGCTCAGGGATAGCACCCAGGTCTAGCATTGGTGCACACATGCATGCACATACATATGCACACACACAAAAATGAGACCAAGGGAGTAGAAATGAAGTAGACAGAGAAGACTAACCATCTACTAAAGAGCAAAAATGTATCTCAACTCGGTTTTTCCTTCCTCATGAGGAATGAGGGGGGCAGTGCAGAAGTTGGGGTACAGATGGCTAAGGAAGCTAAAAAAAGAGAAGGTGAGGGCATTCTTCCCTATTTATTTTCTCTATGAAGGACAAGTTGAGATTTCTACATAAACAAGAGGAAGGGGAAGTTTCTGTAGAGATTTGAAGCAATGGGCCAACATATAAACTACTTTCTCTGTCTCTCTCTATCTCTCTCTGCAGGGTGTATGTGTGTCTGTATGGATGTCTCTCTCTCTCTCTCTCTTTTGTGCTGGTACTGGGGATTGGCTCTTCTGCTCAAGGCTGGTATCCTACCTGAACCACACACACCTCCACTTCCAGTGTTTTGTTGGTTAATTGGAGATAGGAGCCTCATAGTCTTTTTTTTTTTTGCCTGAGCTGGCTTTGAACCCTGATCCTTAGCTTTTAGCCTCCTTACTAGCTGGGACTATAGGTGTGAATCACTGGTGCTACTGAGATCTAGTGCATTTGCACAAGCAAGAAACTAGCAGGTGAAAGACTGGAACTCAGAGCCATTCCATTAAAGAACTATCCTTGAAATGGCTCTTTTTGTGCTGGTGTCTGTTAATGCAGAATTAGAAATATAAATCACTTTTGTCTTTATAGGGAATGAATGGAAAAGATGGATTACCAGGGGCTCAGGTATGAAAATCCCATTTAAAGCAGGAAGTGTAAAATTGCTCCTGGATAAGCATTTCCAGAATATCTGCCAACAGTGAGGTAAGACTAATGCGAAACCCGTGAGGCATGACTTTCCGTGTTGATATCTTCCAGGGCATCACAGGAAAGCCTGGAGACAGAGGTCCCAAAGGAGAGCGTGTATGTATTTTATGCTGAGGGTGCCATTCACATCTGCATCACACAAGTGCCTCACTGTCTGAGTCCCTCCCTCTGGGCCCCTCCCCCTGGGTCCCTCCACTTGGGTCCCACTGTCTGGATCCCTCCCTCTGAGTCCTACCGTCTGGGTCCCTCCCTCTAGGTCCCTCCATTATGCACAGAGACACTGACACACCTCCAGTGACTGAGACTGCAGTGCTGGTGTTGGGCCATCCATTTCATTTCTTTTTCTATTCTCATCCCAGGATCATGTAGATCCCTAATGGTTCTCTTAATTTTCATCGTCTTTAAGTCAAGATAAATACAAGAGTAATCACAAGTGAAAAGTACTGAGCTGACACGCACACAGTTGTGCTTGCTGAGACCCTCCCCACCCAGAGCTGTGCAGCTGACCTAGTACTCAGGGCTGCTTCATAAACCCTGCCTTGCCCACCTGCTCCCTCCTGTGCACACCACAGTGGACACATCACACTCCTGACCTGACCATCCGTTCCCTCCTGTGCATAACACAGTGAACATATCACACACCTGACCTGACCACCCGTTCCCTCTGTGCATACCACAGTGGACACATCACGCACCTGACCTGACTATGCATTCCCTCCTGTGCACACCACAGTGGACACCTCACAGTGTAGAGACAACAGGAAGCTGGGTGCTGGTGGCTCACGCCTGCAATCCTGGCCACTCGGGGCTGAGATCTGAAGATCAGGGTTCAAAGCCCAGGCAAGAAAGTTCCTGAGACTCTTACCTCCAGTTAATTAGCAGAAACCAGAAGTGGACCTGGGGCTCAAGTGGTAGAGGGCCATCCTTAAGCAAAATGCTGAAAGTGCCCAGGCCCTGAGTTCAAGCCACAGAACTAGCACACAAACACACACACACACACACACACACACCACCACCACCACCACCACCACCACCACCACCACCACCACTAATGACAAAAACATTATTAAGGAACCTTGGCTGTCAGATTCAGACACATGCAATGTACTCTTACTTCCAGCTTCCTCTGGCATCTTACTCCAGAGATAACTATAGTTAATTTATATACCTATAAATAACAGTATTATACTGTTAGCATAGAATATATTATTATAGTAATAATGTACTATATTCAATCAAATGCTGTATACTAATATACTAGTATTCTAATGTACTAGTTTACTAATACACTATTATACTATTAGGGTATAATTATTAGTACATGATAGTATTATACTATTTTGAATAATAGTATAAATGAACCATAAGATACTAATTTATAATTTTAATAATTTATAAGTATTATAGTTTGTTTACATGATTGGTATCATGCTATTGATAATTAGTATAACATCATCATTAACACATGTTATTACAAGATTATCCTTTTTGTATTTATTCTGTTGCTAATCTTAGCATAGCCTCTTCTTCCTCCTTGAGATTGTCTGTTTAGGACCCGCTGCAGGAAGCAGCACTACCTGGTGGGAACCCGGCTGGTAGGGACAGAGAGGAGGGACACTGTCCTCACTGTTAATGACATCCACACAGGAAATGACTCCCACAGCACCTGACATTTTCTAAGCCTTTTGTTTGGATTAATTCATTTATTTATCAACATTGTGGTACATAGTTTAAGTCCCTATCCAGTGCTCCACAGTGGAAAAATATTAATACAAATGCAGACCCTTCCCAGAAAAGATCATTGCTTCTTCTACCCGCAAACAGGGTGACCAAGGAATCCCAGGAGACAGAGGGCCCCAAGGCGAGCAGGGAAAGCCAGGCCTTGCAGGCACAAAGGGGGCTCTGGGCCCTGTGGGGCCTCCAGGAGACAAGGGCTCTGCCGGACCTCCAGGCCACCGCGGCCCCCCTGGCTCCCCCGGCACTCCGGTAAGTGCTGCCAGGCTTTCCTTGGCAGTACAGTGATTTATCGCAACAGGCGTGGAAATGCGCATTTATGTTGCTCATGGTTTTCCTGTCTGTTGGCATATAGTTGGTTGTACATTGCAAGCACTTTATTGTGAATGACAATTCTGCTGGTACACATAAAGCATACCTACACTGGCGGTCAGAGGTCCGTGCCACACTCGGCTAAGCACTTGCATCACCTCGCTTGCGCTCATTCCTCCTTGCTCTTACGAAGGCAGAAAGTTGATCTAGGTCCAGCTGACTCCAAACCCTGCTTTCACAGTGCTGTTCACACTGCGTCTCTATTACACAAAAACCACCTGTGTCTGTTTACATGTTAGAACAAGTCCATCCAGAGAGGTGCTTAGAAGGAGAAATCATTCAGGCAAAGATAGCATGTTTAGCTCAACCAGCGCAGAGTGTTATTTATTTACATCTCTCTGGTTTTATGGTTGTGGTCATTGCTTGGAGGAGTTTAATATGAAAGTATCCATGAGAGGATTGGATCTGATCTGTTACATAAACAGCAAAATTGGACCTTCCCACCATTCTTGTGGTTTATTTTTAAACAGTTTCCCCAAACTCTACTTGGATAAAGCTGTAGAAGTTGAACTTTTTGTTCTGGGCCAACAATTAGTATTAGATGCATGAATTTAAGCTCATTTTTCCCATGAGTAATGGAAATGAAGAACTTCAGCAGGGCATCCTTGGAGCCACACTGCCCACCGTAGGAGGCCACCACATCATCTTCTGTAGCTTTTTGCATTCCAAGTGAACTGACTGCTGTAAATAGACCAGCATCACCATGTTAGGAAAGGCCATGAGACCACGGACTGGCATTGTCATCACACAAGCAAACAGGAGGGAGGAATTTGCAATGAAGGATGATGGGGAATCTTCCAAGATAGGAATGTTTATTAGAAGGTGATTTGGATCGTGATGCTAACATTTGGTTAGTGCCAGTTGGGTTCTGGAACCTTCGAAAGTGAAGTAGCAGAAATGTCCTTCCTAACTGCATGAAGCTTTCCTGCTTGCTTAACAGGAAAAATGTTCATATAGTTGGTTAAGATGTCACGCCATGGCTTTTGAAGAAATTATGCCCTTCAATTGACTCCAAGACCCCATAGAACCCATAGACCCCATTGGCAAAAAGCATTTTGCTAGCTAAATGTGTTTCTAAAGAAGTATGTAAATCCTGATATTTCTGGTCTTATTCCCTTGTGCTACACTTTCTTGTAACACTATTCTTCTTTCCTTCCTTAGGCTGATGCTGTTTCATTTGAAGAAATAAAAAAGTATGTCCATCAAGAGGTCCTGAGGGTTTTTGAAGGTTAGATTTTTGCTTTGTAACATTTCTGGGTCCCCGCCTCTCCATTCACACTCTTGGAGGATAATCTAGGAAAGGCTTGCAAGAAAGCACATTGGCGGGGGGTGGGTCCCCTGGGAAGTCCTTCCTTGCCCTCAGTTGAGTCTCACTCCCTGTAACTTCCTCTCCTCAGGTCTGGTCTGTCAGCCAGCACAGTCAGTCTGTCAGATTCAGCATCCTAGGACAATCTTTCAGGTTCTGTCTATCCATCAGACTCCCTAGTTTTCTCCCATCTGTGGAACGAATGTGTCTAACTCGTCACCCCATCCTTGTGAGAAGCTTAATTTATAAGTTCCTTCTTTTATCCATGATTTCATGACTAAGATGGACTTTGATTTGGCCCTGAGTCTACAAATTATGGCCTACCAGCTATGCCCTCCAACCACAGTGGAGAAATACATACATATATGTGCATGTAGATATGCATATAAATATATACATATACATACACAAATACATGTCCAGCATTGGAGCTTGAACTCAGGGCCTGGGTGCTGTCCCTGAACTTTTTTGCTCAAAGCTAGTGCTCTACTGCTTGAGCCACAGCTTACTTCCACCTTTTTGATGGTTACGTGGAGATAAGAATCTCACAGACTTTCCAGTGTAGGCTGCCTTCCGCCTCCTGAGTAGCTAGGATTATGGAATGAGCCACTGGCGCCTGACTAGTTTCTGTATTTTTATTGATAGACTTTAAATCTTCAGATCTTTTTAATGAAAAGAATACTTCATGACATGTAAAAATGTTCTGAAATTCCAGACAGTCTGTAAATAAGATACTTGGCACAGAGCCATGTTCTTTACATTTTTTTTCTGTAGTTGCTTTTACACTATATATGTTTTTGCACTGTATATACAGCAAAAAATGGTACTTACTTTCTAGTCCCTTTCAGAAAAAGTTTTCCTAACCTTGCTCTAGATAAATAAATGTAAAATATCATTCATTGTTTTAAAATTTTTCTGAGCACTTAGATGTTACTATTTATTCATTTGAATTTTCAGTTAATCCTGATCTTTCTTAAATTTAAATCCTTTAAATTTAATTGCTTCCCATACTAGACTGTGTTTGTTTTTGACACTCAGTATGGTTTTATGTCCATTCATATTAAACTTTATGTGGTATGGGCTGCTTGTCTGAGTAGACTGGCAGAGTCCTGGGCTCAGTCTCCAGTGCTGGAAACAAATAAATACATGATCAAGTAACTCCTGGCCAGTTATTAGCTTGCTCTTCTATCCTGGTGTCATCTCTATGTTCTGTGTGCACATCATTGTTGTAGTTGTTGATAGAAAAGTAGTATTAACAAGTCAAAAGTCACCTAGGCACTGGTGGCTCACACCTGTAATCCTAGCTACTCAGGAATCGCGATTCAAAGCCAGCCTGTCGTGGAAAGTCTGTGAGACTCTCAGCTCCAATAAACTACCAAAATCCAGAAGTGGAGCTGTGGCTCAAATCGTAGACCATCAGCCTTAAGTAAAAAAAAAACAAAGTAGACCACAAGGCCCTGAGATCGAGCCCTAGTACCTCTACCATAGGAAAAAACAAAACAAAACTTGTAGTGTTCTTCAGGAATACAAGATATAATCAAAGCAGATACATATGTTCAATCCCTGTCTCTACTGCTAATGCATTTCAAAGCCAATACCTACAAAAGTTGTGCCAAAAATGCAGTAATTGTGATGAGCCAGAAAGCAAACAGGAATTTGTATGGTGCTGTTGAATCAGCAATTGAACTGAAACTGTAAAACAAGACATTACAGGCAATTACTCTTGTGATATTTTTGCCCTCTATGCAACTATGTAATTTTGATTTCCACACTTAAGAGACACAAAAAAGCCCTGAGATAATGGAACCAGAAAGTGATTTACAAAACAGATTAGCAAGCCACCATAAAATAATGAAAAAAAAAGATTTACAAAACAGATTAGCCAGATGATGAATTGAAGTTATTTAAGCTTAAACAAAGAGGTAGCAATATGACCAAGTAATGAGTATTTTTCTTGGAAAATCAAGCATACAATTATAGTTTCTTTAATGGAATAACAAAAGCAAGGTAAGTATTTTATACTAAGACAGTGAGTAATTAAACTTTTAAATAGATACTAGAAAAAATAGGATGAATTTCCCTTCAAAACTAGTTATAGGGGCTGGGAAGGTGGCTCAGTGGTAGAGTGCTTGCCTTGCATGCATGAGGCCCTGGGTTTGATTCCTCAGCATCACATAAGCAGAAAAAGTCAGAAGTGGTGCTGTGGCTCAAGTGGTGGAGCACTAGCCTTGAGTTGAAGAGCTGAGAGACAGTGCCCAGGCCCAGAGTTAAAGCCCCACAGTTGACAAAAACAAAAAAACTAACTTATAAATTCTGCATGTGAAACAGAGGGTAGTCCTGGGCCAGATGAAATCTGAATGTTACCCTTAATAATGACATTTATGGTCACATTAACCTCATTGTATTAATAGTGTCCTCACATGAATCTCGACAGTCACATTATAGTAACAGTGTCCTCACATGAATTTTGACAGTCACAATGTAGTAACATGTCCTCAGGTGAATCTCGACCGTCGCATTGTAGTAACAGTGTCCTCACATGAATCACAACCATTCGAATTGTTGTAACAGTGTCCTCTTGTGAATCTTGATGTTTGTGTGGTACTGGAGAGGCCTCCTGCCAGGGAGCCCAGTCTTGGCCTCTCTGATTAGCATGATGGCCATGATTTTTGCCTTGGCAGGTGGAAAAAGTGTGTGTCTGGTGTATACACACTTCCATCTGAAATGTAATTTGCTGCCTCATTAGAAAGCATAGCTAAAAAGAGACTAATTGAGTAAACATCCCCGAATCAGGAAACACAATTAAGACTATGGTGCTTACCAGTTCATTTGGACGCTCAGACATTTTCCATGCTGGAGGACTGGGGTAGGGATCTGGAAAAGAATTAGCCTTACGCAAAATGACTATTCCTTAGAGTATCTTAAAGCCGGATACAGCTTTAAAATAATTTAACTTTGCTAAAATTTATTTTTAAACAATACCAAAAGTGCTAATAAGTTCTTACATTGAAAAGGAAAAACTAATAATGTGAATCTTTGTCTTTAGACCCTGAAGTATTCAAGATGTTTCAACTGAACAGAAATTGTACAGAAATAGCTTCTCTTAAGAGCTATGACATATGCAAAGCTTCAAATTGTGATTATAGCATTTCATATTTTTATTAAGTACTCACTTTAATATACTGTAAGGAAGATGTGTTTACAGTCGTGGTGGTGATGTGGAAAAAAATGGTTAAAGAAGTGGTTTTTTAAAATGGCTTTTTAAAGCCATCTAAGGGCTTTCATTGTTTTGTTTTATTTAAAGCTTGTACTGGGTCTTGAAAATGGGGTTTTGTACTTCCATTTGGCCTTTTCACTCACAGTTGGAGCTCTGCCACTTGAGCCACAGCTCCACTTCTGGCTTTTTGCTGATTAATTGGAGATAAGAGTCTCACAGACTTTACTGCCTAGGCTGGCTTCAAACCTCAATCCTCAGATCTCAGCCTCCAGAATAGCTAGGAGTACAAGTATGAGCCACTGGTGCCCAGCTAATAATATGTATCTTGATCATTTAAATGATTTAAAATATTATATTCTCTATTCATAAGAAATGAAAGGCCAAGCCATCACTGAAAAACAGGGGAATTCAGCCCCAACTGGGTTGGAGAACTTATGGACATATTTGAGTAACTACACAATCACAACATCAGTGGCAACATCAGTGGCCCTAAAGTTACTATTAAAACAATTTTGTAGGTTAGGTGCTGGTAGTTTGCACCTGTAATCCTAGCTACTCAGGCAGCTAAGAGCTGAGAATCACAGTTCAAAGTTACTCAGGTAGAAAAATCTGGGAGACTCTTTCATTAACCACCAACAAGCTGAAATAGAAACTGATATGATAGAGCACCAGTCTTGAAGAAAAAAGCCAAGAAAGAACATGAGGCCCTGAGTTCAAGCCCCAGTACCAGCACAAAAGCAAACCAAAAAAGGCATTTTATCATGGGAACCTAAATTCTCTCTACAAATCATAAACAGTTTGGTCGGTCGTGGGGTCTGAACTCTGAGCCTGGGCGCTATCCTTCAGCTCTTCAGCTCAAGGCTAGAGCTCTACCACTTGAGCCAGAGTACCACTTCTGGCTTTTTCTGCTTCTGTGGTGCTGAGAAATCGAACCCAGGGCTTCATGCATGCAAAGCAAGCACTCTATCACTGAGCCACTTTCCCAGCCCCTGGACTGAATTTTTAAAAGCACTTGTCCATTGTTTTGAAAAAAATATTCCCATTGCATGACGTAAAATATTTTTTCTTTTGTACATGAAGAGAGGATGGCTGTGATCCTGTCTCAGCTCCAGCAGCCGGCAGCGATGTTGGCCGGGCATGCCCATGGGAGGCCCGGCCCTCCAGGGAAGGACGGGCTACCCGGGCCCCCAGGAGACCCCGGACCCCAGGGTAAGTCTGCAGGTAGAAGATGGGTCAAATTCATTTCTAATCTTCAACACATGCTAATTACAGTTAAAGGAACATATCTATATATACCTATGTCTAATATACACAGAGTGGATTAGTAGAGCATTTTTTTGGGGTCCAGTTGTGGGGCCTGAACTCTGGACCTGGGTGCTATCCCTCAGCTCTTCAGCTCAAGGCTAGTGCTCTACCACTTGAGCCACAGCGCCACTTCCGGCTTTTTTCTTTTTGTTTATATGGTGCTGAGGAATCGAACCCAGGGCCTCAGGCTTACCAGGCAAGTGCTCTACCACTGAGCCACCTTCCCAGCCCCAGTAGTAGAGCATATTTTTTGTCCATGTCTGTTTTAGAATTACTGTTTCATATCAAAACTGATTAGTATGTGCTATTGTAAATGCCTTTTATATAGTAACAGTAATGTGTGTTCCTGTACTGTTCTTGTCTAGCAGCCTTTGAGATGTGTGTACTACCCTGTATGCTGTTAGACTGCAAGACCCATCATCTTAGAACCTCAAAGAAACAGAGAAGAATCATAGACAGTCCTAGGACAAATGGTCATTAAGATCTAAAGTATTGGGTGGGAGGGGGAGTTAATGATCTTTCTGATGTAAACTCTGTGTGTGTATGTGTGTATGTGTGTGTTCTGGACCTAGAGCTTGAACCCTTAGATTTTTTTTTGTTCAAGGCTAGTGCTCTACCACTTGAGCCACAGCTCCACCTCCAGCTTTTTATGGTTAGTTGGAGAGAGTCTTGTGGACTTTATTGTTGCCCAGTGTGGCTTTGAACTGTGATTCTGGATCTTAGCCTCTTGAGTAGTGAGTATTAGAGGTGTGAGCCACCAGTGCCCAGCACTTTTGACCTTTAAAGAACTCTTCAGTGGGGGAGGATGGTGAAAGGAGTAGTGGCCTTGATCAAGGTTTATTGTACTCACAAACTGACATACTGAATTGAAAACCCCCTTTGTGTAACTACACAAAAATGATTTTAAAAAGAATTCTTCATATGGTTTCTAAAGTTTTAAAGCCAAAGTTATTCTTGCAAGTTATGGTTGCACTGTTGACAGCTTGTCAAGCGGCATGATCTTAAATTGAGCTGGACTGAGTTCTTCTGACAGAGCAATGTGGTAAGAATCTGGCTTCCTGTCAGTTAAGTAGCCACATGGGCCTGGCTTGGAAGATTCGAGAATCCTGCCAGGAGCCATCTCACGAGACAGAGCAGAGAGGCTGTGGCCTAGCAAGTGTGGGGCCTTTTGCCTTGGAGCATTTGATTTAAGTTCAGACCTGGAATCCACTGCCAGGCACCATCACTCACTCAGCACTAGCCCCACTGCCCTGTTCTTGCAGCCTTCATGGTCCTTGAGTATCCACACAGATGGATGGACACACAGACCCTGGTGAGGGCGGCCACGGTGGTACAGGACTAGGTTACCTGCACAGCTCCTGACATATTACACTATGGACTGGCTCCAAGAACCTTGTTCCAGGTGAGGCCCTCTGTGGAGCCTCAGACAACTCGCAATTTTAAAAATCATCCTTTGCCTGGTTATTTTGGAAGACAACGTTACATGGGTTAGATAGCTAGTCTCATTGCTTAGCTGGAAAAAAATCACTCAAAAACCAACTTTCTCTCTTTTCTTTCTTGGTGGTTCTGGTACTTGAACCCAGGACTTTGTACTTGCTAAGTAGTTCCCATCCGAACCCGTGAGCCATATCCCCAGTGCTTTCTACTTTGCTTATTTTGGTGACAGAGTCTCACATTTTCTACTGTGACCCCCTAGTTATGCTTCCCACTGAGCTGGATGACAGGCGCTGTGACTATACCCAGAATTTATTGGTTGAGATAGGATTGCATGAACTTTTTGCCTGATCTGGCCTCAAATCATGATCCTTCTAATCTCTACCTCCAAAATGGCTAGGAGTGCAGGTATGAGCCACCATGCCCAGCCCCTCTAATTTATTAAACATGTATGTCTCCTTTTTTGAGATTATGAGAAGTTAGGTAATTGGAGTTGACGTGTGTACCATGGCTGGACCATGGTGACTAGAGGTCATTCACTGGTCAGGTCCACTCTGAAGCCAGATCATATGGAGTACACAGGGCCTGGAGAGGCCTTGAGACCCCATCTGGGACCAGACTGAGAAAAAGCTCCCATGATACCAATGTGTGTGTGGGGGGGGGGTCCTTGGGCTCGAACTCAGGGCCTGGGCACTATCCCTGACCTTTTCTGTTCAAGGCTGGTCCTCTACCACTTGAGCCACAGGCTCAAGATTTGGGGTAGTCCATTGGAGAAAAGTCTCAGCTTTCCTGATTTTGAACTGTGATCCTCAAATCTCAGCTTTCTGAGTAGCTGGGCTTCAGGTGTGAGCCACTGGTACCTGGCTGTAGACTTCTTTTATTTACCTTGACCCTGGATGCCTGTGCCAGCCCTGCAGAGAGCTCGTGCACATGGCCACAGCTGCACATAGCAGGTCTGGCTGATCTGAACCACTGAGCTGTCATTTCAGTACAGAAAGATCTCACTAGCAGAAGTTTGACCCACTGGGATGTTTTATGTTGTGTATTTTTTTTTTGGTCAGTCATGGGGCTTGAACTCTGGGCCTAAATGTTGTCCCTCAGCTCTTCAGCTCAAGGCTAGCACTCTACCACTTGAGCCACTGCACCACTTCCGGTTTTCTGAGTGGTTTATCAGAGAAGAGGCTCATGGACTTTCCTGCCCAGCTGGCTTTGAACCATGATCCTCAGATCTCAGCCTCCTAAGAAGCTAGGATTACAGGCATGAGCCACCAGCACCCAGCTTATGTTGTGTATTTTTAAAGCTCTCCATTGCCTTACTGTGCCTTATCTAATATTTGAGTATGACTACAGATAACTAATACATGATTCATGCTGTGAGGAAATCACTTAAATATCCCAGACTTGGTAAATGGTTCTTCTGTGTTGCTACAGGACAATTTTCCTTTATGCATCTGTTTCTCTCTCAGGCTACCGAGGACAGAAGGGTGAAAGAGGTGAACCTGGAATTGGGCTGCCAGGGAGCCCTGGGCTTCCAGGTTCCTCAGGTAATGGTGATGTGTGCTTTGTACCAGTCAGGCAACAGTAATATGTGTTTGGTTCCAGTCAGACAATGGTGATATGTACTTGGTACCAGTCAGGCAGCAGTGATGTGTGCTTGGTACCAATCAGTCAACAGTGATGTGTGTTTGGTACCAGTCAGGCATCAGTGATGCGTGCTTGGTTCCAGTCAGACAACGGTGATATGTGCTGGGTACCAGCAGCCTGTCAGACAAGAATGCAGGCTAGAGTTGGGGGAGGGTAGAGGATGGCCACCGCTGCCTGGTCTTCTGAACAGCTCTTTTGTTCCACTAGCTCTGGGTCAGCCAGGTTTACCAGGTGCCCCAGGCCCCCAGGGCCCGCCAGGACCCAGCGGGCGATGTAGCCCAGAAGACTGCCTCTCCCCTGCACGGAAGACCCCACCTGGACAGGCCGGACATGGACACACCTAAGCCAGACTTCCTTCCTGCAGGGCGCCTGGCCATCAGAGCTGTTGCAAAGCTGTGAAACTCATCATCTATGGGCGGCTTTTCTTGTCTTCTTTTATTTTTTTAACATGTGCAAGCAAACATCAAAAGTCACAATTTGAGTCTTACTCATTTGCAAACCAACATGATTAAATTTCCCCAAATTCATTCCATATGTTTTGCTTTCTGTTGCTAGTGATGCGCAAGCACGCACATGCGCACACCAGTAACTGGGTTTTGAATTCAGGGTCTGAGGTTGTCCCTTAATCTTTTTGCTCAACACTGGTGCTCTACCATCTGAGCCACAGCTCTACTTTTGGCTTTTTGGTAGTTAATTTTAGATAAGAGTTTCCTGGTCTTTCTTGCCAATTCTGGCTTCAAACCTCCATCCTCAGATCTCACCCTCTGAAGTATCTGGGATTACAGGCATTGGCCACTGGCATCGGGCTTACTATGATTTTTTATTCAGTTTTATATGAGATTTGTAAGCAAACCTTGTCACTGATTTTTCTTCAAAAAGAAACTGCACAGTACCATTTGGTATTCGACATGATGCACAGTGTGTAGACAGTTGCTGGTGGTTGGCTTTTGGTTTCTGAATTTTGAGGTTTTAGACTCGTCTTAAAGTTTTCTTTGAGTTTAAAGTCACCATCGTTGCTAAACATTTCTGTCAACCTTGAGCTAGTGCATCATTCCTGTTGAACTTTTTTTCACTTTTTACAAGAAGAATTCTTCCACCGGTGTAAAAAACAAAGAGGGACAAGCAATAAGAGCTCCATGTAGATTTTGGAATAAAAATACAGGAGACTATTTTTTTAAATCAAGCAGTCCCCAAAGTCTCAAAAGCCCACACAACTGAAATGATTATGTTAGCTCTTTGTACTGAGCTCAATTTGAAGCAGTCGCCGCTGGAATGAATGAATACTCCATGGGGGAAAGAAGAACAAATGAGCATTTCCACAGGAGAGCCTGCCCTTGATGCTCCCCCTCCCCAGCAAACTTTCTCTTCTGTCAACAGAAAGCTGTTTTCCTAAGCAGTGTTTGGGTGGAGACAGGCTGCCTGTGGTTCCCCAAAGCGAGACCCTTGGGCTGCTTATCCTTCAGATCTCATCCTCGGACTTTCAAGCACAACCTAGTCATCAAAGGGAAGCACAGGACTGGCATAGACTGGAAAAGGTGACTTGCCCTTGGAAATGAGGTGGAGTACCAGCACAGGCACCCCAGGAGGGGCTTGTCCAGAGGTGGAAGGCAAAGCTCCAGAGGCAAAGCTCCATACCCCAGACAACCACCCACACTCCTGTTGGCCCAGGGAGAGCAGGCCAAGGCAGGATGTGTCTGAATGCACCCATGACTGGGCTGGTCTTCACTAGAGAGTGGCCCTCTGGTCAGGACCGTGTATATGGCCTACATGTACATACAACCTATTATTTATAGGGAATTTTGCTGTATATTTCAAATCCAAGTGTTATTTATTTTCCAAGGTTATTTTATTTATTGTGTTTTTTAGCATTAAGTTGACCTCCCTCATTTTCTTTCCTGTGCAATAACTACAGTGGTGCTGTGTTTTTGAATTACTCAATTGGGATTTGCATATATGTTTTGCGTATTTATCTTCTTAGTAAAATAATTCATCCACAAAAAGTGTACATAGATTTAAAATTTGGTGCTGGGTATATCTTGAGTTTTTAATTTGTTACAACTTCTCTGACACATACTAAATTTACTTGAATCTGTCATAAGGCTAAATTTTTTACATCTTTTCAAAGATTATTTTTTCATATTAGTAAGTTGATCTTTTTACCTCTTGGCTAATTCAAGAATATTTATTTTGCCATTTTAATGTTTCATGGACATTTTTGCTGATGGTTATGTTTAATTTTTTTTACTTTTTTAGTTGAGAATTTCACATATATATATATAGAGAGAGAGAGAGAGAGAGTTGTGATTCATTTTCTTATGAGTCTGTTCATTCTTATTTGCAGACTGTGTCAGCATTGTTTCTAACTAATTATATAGCTTGGGATCTTTTCTTTCTATTTTGTGACTCCTTGACTGGTTTGTTGCTGCTTTGAGAAGTTGGGTTTATTCCAGTGGTTTGAGAAGGGCAGAGGTAAAACACCACTGGGACTCCAGATGACTTGTTTCCGTAACAGAGGCGAGGGCATCTTCTGGTCTGGTGCAGGCAGCGTGTGCTGAGCAAGACCTGCCTCCTCTCCCTGCTCCCCTGCGGATATGTTCTGCAGACCTCCACTCTGGGCAAGGGGTGGGAGGACCCCTGCATCCCCTAAGGCGCACCCACTGAGGACAGATCTGGAGGGTGCGTGTGCCTTCCATGGGGAGGGGGCGGACCCCTGACCTGGCCCCTGGGTGGGGTGAGCAATGTCCCTACATTTCCATAATCCTGGAGCATCTGGTTCCATCCCTGAGCATTTCTTTCTCTCCATGGAGGGGAAGAAAATGACTAAATTCCTCTCAGGTGCACTCCAGATAACATAAATGTTCAAGTAAAATATACTCTGGTTATAATTACAGTTAATACCAAAACTTTTTTTCCCATCACAAGTATGTTTGACTTCCAGTCTTAAAATTTCTCCCAAGGTCAGTTCATACTTTCAGATTGAAATCTGCCTACATAAAAAAATAAGGGCTGATTTCAATGATTACTTGTGGTCCTTGGAACCTAAAGAAAAAAGGAAGAACTCATGTTGAATTCCCTCCCCGCTCTGCCGGGCCTAGGTCTGGTCCTGGACGGTATTTCATCTGTAGTACTTGGAAACACCCATGCTCCCCCACTATGGGGCTGTGTCATTCCCCTCCCCCCCCCCACCCACCCCGGCCCTGTCCCTTCCAGCTGAAAATTAATTGTGACATTTACAACCACAGCCAGTCTTCACTTTTTAAACACCTCACGTTGGTCAGAGTGATTTAACAACTTACCTCCTCGGCTTGTTTTGTATTTTATGATTTTGGAATTTTTTAAATTTTGGTCACTCATAGAACTTAATTATTTTAAGATATGTTGTCTGTAAATATTTTCATTTTGATGTTTGGCATATGAAGTGTTCGAGGCAGGAAGTTGGTGTTTCTGCAGAATGGGAGCTGGGATGTACCTCCTCCTGTCCACAGGACATGGACAGCCATTACACCCTTGTCTTTGCACTTTTTACTTTACTTTTGTAAATCATTTTGTAATATTTGCTTTGTTCACTTGTATTTTTCCTAATTTTCAGCATCTTTGGGAAGCTGGCACAGGAGCCTTTGTTTTGTTCCCTGCTTCAATTTTATTTCTTCAGTGTGTGCACACACACACACGTACACACCTGGTCAACATGCAAATGAGCCATTTGTGATTTTGTTGTAAACTGCCCTATTTTAGTGAAGAATGCAAAGGCACTATGTAACCATCCTGGCCTTTAGACAGAACGGGTGCTTTTCTGAAAGAAAAGCAAAAAGCATTTAGCTTACTTCAACAAGTAGACAATTTGCCGAATTACACAGCCTCTAAAGCCCATCAAGTAAAATTTGAAATGTCTGTAATGTCTATGTTTTCTTGCATGTACTATTTACAAATGATAGGAACACTGCTGTTCAAAATACTGTTTTCCCCTTAACATTGGCTGTTCAAAATACTGTTTTCCCCTTAACATTGGTAATAATACTCAGGGACTAGGGATTCCTAAGTACCACGCTAAAGTTGTCTGCACTTTATAGATTTGTTCCCTGTGCTTGGTCTTAAATTACTTTCCATTTGGTCTGGGTTTAAGACACACATGCCATCACTACCTGGCTTCTCAGGTTGTGTCTTCACACTGGAGGGTCAGGTTGCCTCCTGCACCTGCTTCTCCCCAAAGCCACCCAGACATGGGTGACAGAGGGGTGACAGTATCACAATACCCGTACTCACAAACTGACCTGTTGACTTGAAGCCCCTTTGTACAACATACATTTAATTTTGATTTAATTTAAAACATGATTGGTACAGGAAAAAATTACCCAGGCTTCTAAGAGAAGAAATTCATATATTTCCTAGCAAACTGAACATAATTCACTGAATTAACTAGCTGATAAAAATAGCATTTGCTACATTAACAATTTGATTATCTACTGTGAATTTGAGGACACAGCACAGATGGCTATCTCTGCCCTTGTTTTCTGAGTAACCCAGACATTTCACTCCAGATCATGCCAGGAAAATCAGTTCTTTGATGAAATGAAAGGTAATACTGGGCCATGCAGAAAACATTTTCATTCAGACTGTAGATTCAGCAAGAGAAAAACTACCTGAGGGCCAAAGCTCAGTCTAATAAAACTCAGACGATAAAGATTCCAGGTTCAAATCCAATAGCAAATGATGGATGGTGCCACCCAAAGTTAGCCACTTGCTTCAAACTTGTCAAAATGAATACTAATGAAGTATAAGATTTTGCTTATGGGTAGTATATGAAATCCACAGAAATGTGTGTGTACTTGAACATAATAAGCCTATGATTGTAAAGGTACTCTTTATTTTGCTGTTATTTAATGTGTATTGAAGAAATATCTTTAATGTATTCATGTATTTAAATTCAGATTGTAGCGTGCATATTTTATTACTATTTATTTTTAAAATCGCATTTGTGATGTATTCTTTGTTCTGTATCTTACCTCAACCAATTGTTTAAGGTTTAATTCACTATACTCACGTTAACTGGGACAGCATTACTTCTGCTTAAAACAGGTAGATATAATTCTTAAAAGCCTTCATTCTTGTATCTTCCTTGTGCATAATGATCTTGTGGCTTATCTCAGCAATAAAAGAATTGGCCCTTATTCAGGGAACTCTACAGGGCAGTTGTTAACCATGTATTTAGCTCCATGCTATTAGATCTCAGCCGCAGTGAAGCTACCAAACCATCCTCACCAAGACTAAGCTGCACCATCAGTGGGAGTCCCACGAGCCCCTCTGCCAGGTTCAGGTTTATACCATGCTGACAGTGATACTTTTT